AAAAAAGATGCAGAAACCAATAAATCAAATCAAATCAAACGATTTGGGATAAAACACTCTTTTATAAGATGTATAATAATTCACTGTTCATAGATGATTTTTTAATTAATTAGCAATTTTCTAGGTGTAAACTTTGTTTTGACTCACACGGTATATCGCCCTAATTGAGTGCGCTGAGAGGGTTGCTCTTTGAGCAGTCTCCCATTGAGAGGGCGTTCTGATGTAGGTGTTGGAATTTGGTTCGGTTCGGTTTAGCGAGTTTGCTTAAATTAAGTAAAGTAGTTGAATTGAGTTGAGTTGAGTTCTGGCACTTGTGTCGGAGTGCCTTTTCGGTGGAGGTCTCGACTCTACGCGAGGATCTCTGATCCCTTCAGGTATTACATTAAATGAATAACATTAAATTGAATTATGTTATGTTATTTTACAGTTACTTCTTAAAAATCTATTTACATGTGACACCAGCGGACGTGGAGAACCTCATGACAGAATAAAACTTTCTTTTAGGTAATCCTCAGGCGTCCGCTGGTGGCATTTTCACTGTCTTGTAACTCGTAATGTTATATGCTCTGTGTTGTCATTTTTATTTTGTTTATACATGTACCTGGAAATCAAATAAATCGAATAAAAAAAAAGAAAAAGAAAAAACGTACATATTGGGCTTAGGGATTTTCTACAATGCTTAATTTCACCATTCAACATTGCAAAATCTCGCTTGGTCGCTACGCCCCCTCGCCCAATAACACAAAACTACTAGTTATGACACTCCGCCCACACTCCCAGCTGTGATTTATCCATAGTTGGTGTAATAGATTTTTTTCTTCTTCATTTCTACTACATAATTGTGTGTTATCACAATCATGATTGTTTCATTTTCCCTTTAAAGCAGACGCGTAGCCAAGGGCGGTGGGGGCAATAAAAGGACGTAGGAGGGGGAGGGGAGAAACTGAATTCAGACAAGGATTAAGAGTCGAGAACGGTAAAACGAATCGTCTTCTTTCTCTCATAATTTAATGAAACGTCAAAGCTTCCGCGCTTCGCGCGGTAGAGGGGAAACTGAATTCAAACAACGATTAAGAGTAGAGAATGATACAACTAATCCTCTTCTTTCTCTAATAATTAAATGAAAAGGCAAAGCTTCCGCGCTTCGCGCGGAAGGGGGCAACTGAAATGGGACAAGGATTAAGACTCGAGAACGGTACAACGAATCGTCTTCTTTCTCTAGTAATTTAATGAAATGTTAAGCTTCCGCGCTTTGCGTGGGAGGGACACTGAATGCAGACAAGGATTAAGAGTCAAGATTGGAACAACGAATCATCTTATTTCTCTAATAATTTCATTAAACTATGAAAGGTCACAGCTTCCGCGCTTCGCGCAGGAGGGACACTGAATGCAGACAAGGATTAAGAGTCAAGATTGGAACAACGAATCATCTTCTTTCTCTAATAATTTTATTAAACTATGAAAGGTCACAGCTTCCGCGCTTCGCGCAGGAGGAGGGGTGGGGAACTGAATTCGCACGTAATGGGGGGGGGGGGGGGGGGGCGGGGGGACAGCGAGCTGCCCGAATATGAATTTTTGATATCTTTTCTCGTTTATTTTGGTGATCAATAACACATTTTTGCTCGCTCGCTTCGCTCACTAGCCGAATTGTGAAACCAGAAAATTACTTTTTCTGGCTTTTTCAGCCCCCCCCCCCCCCCCGATGAAAATTGTATAACTTAAAGACGGGGAATGTTGATATCGGACAAAAGACGTGACGTCAGCCTGCCCTCTTTCCAAAATTGTGCCTGCTTGTAGGTACCGGTATGGTGATTCTAATGTGACCTTGTCAGTATTGGTATGATGAGTTGAAAAAACGGTCTGTGCAATTTTCAAATTTCCGCCCCCCCCCCCCTCCCTCCCCTATCGGAAAATCCTGGATCCGCGCCTGTATACTATTTTTAAAAATACAGATATACAACAGTTTTTCCTCTTGAAATTTTCTACTGTATCAACCTGCTTAAGACAGGTCAATGATGGCCTCTTAACAAACGAAATGCTTAGTTTGTTGTTTTGTCTGTTTAAAAAACGTATCAGCCATGTATACAGATGAATCCGTTCTAACTCGGACCAATTAAGACGACTCGGCCCAGCTGCAAAAACGGTAAGTTTTTTGTCATTTTACCCTAACCCCAACCCTAACCCTAGTCCTAAACTTGCAAAAACTGACCGTGTTTGGAGCTGGGCTGAGTTGTCTTTGGTCCGAGTTAGAAGGAAGAAAATGAAATTGAACTGGAAGCCCGACTGCTGAGAACACAGCATTCTTCCAGAATCTCGGGTAAAGATAAAGGTAAAGATGCACTAGTATGTGAAGACAGATAAAAGACTTTCTTGGTGTATATATTAAGGCCTTTAAAACAAATTATAATCATTAAATATTATAATCATCTATATAATCATTCTGATTATTTTTCCAATTTGTATGACGATGATGATTATCATAATATTCATTAGTTATCATAATAATTCTTTTCATTATTAGTATTACTATTATCTTTTTTTTAATACCACAAACCCTGAACCCTATGTTCAAGCAATCAAGCACTACTTTATGTACCAAAAACCAATACTATATTCTATGGGGGCAGATCTTTTGCAGTTGCTGGATCAAACCTTTGGAACAATCTTCCCAAATTCCTACGACAGGCACCCACTTCTGCAACGTTCAAATCTTCACTAAAAACGCACATTGAATAACACCTTCCTGATTTGGGTGGTGCCTTCTCATTATGAAGTTCTCTGACAAACACAGAAGGAAGCAATAAAAAAAACAATTGTCTTCTGGAGAGGGGCACATTCTTAGAATTAGACCTATGCAATTGGGTTTTCTTCTCCACCTCCTTTGGTTTCCCCTTTGTTTTCTTTCTCTCTTCTTCTCTCTTTCTTCTGGCAAATTTAAAGTATGGTTAATGAGAGTGAAATTCCCCATGAACTACAAAGGTTTTTTAGCTTGTTGTGTACTATTGTAGCAAACTTTTTGTTTAAAGGTTACACATCGTTTTTCCAAGATTTCATAATTCTGAAATGTAGTATGAGCTAATGTCCCAATACTCCTGTACCATATCCAATCAATTTCAAACCCACTCTTTCTTCCGGTCACAAAGCACTTCTCAATACAAGTATCTCAATATGATTTAGTTGCAAATGCCATCTAAAATTATCTTGTTAGTTGCGATTAAAGGACTTTCTCCTTTTAAAACACTGAGCCTGAGCCTCTCCACTTCACATTTCTTCCCTTTCAAACCGTCCGTCAATAATTTTTTAAATTCATTCCTTCCATCTCGATCCATCCAGGAAAGCTCTCCATGATTAGTGGTTCAATCAAACTTTTGATGAAATCCTTGCAAAATTTACCGGATGCATTATCAAAAAAGAGCCAAAAAAGTCTGCTCATCCCGTTCCAATTCCAACCACCCCCCCCCCCCCCCCCTTGAGTAAAAAAAAAAAAAAAGGCATCTAACATCCCCCCCCCCCCTTGAGTAAGAAAATAGGGAAAATAGGGGTAAAATCAGGAAGAAGAAAAAAAAAAAAAAAAAAAACCTGGATTTTTTTTTAAGCGGGTAATTATCAGGCCTGATATCATCATCGACACCAAAAATGTTCAATAAACTGTTTTTCAATACCGATTCGTCATTTCTTGACTTTTAGAAATACTAGTATATTCTGCAAGATACATGCTATTAGAAAACTGTAGCATCAAAGAAAAATTCAGGGTTGCCAATTTGATAAAGAAAAGCTGACCAATCTTGCAACTTGCTTTGGCATGCATTCTCATACAACTCTCAAACACAGTTACCTTCAATACAACACAACATGAAAAGGCATTGAAAGCATCATATAATATAGGTTATTTGTTTATTTGTAAAATATTTACATATATATATATATATAGACATATGTCTGATTATAAATATATACATGCTGATGGTTGTTGATATGCTAACATGGCCAGTACATGTACAAGCATTACAATTTATAAAGCTATATATTTAATTGATCTCTTTTTATTTTCCTATGGAACTATTTTACATAAATTGGAGTCACCAACTAGAATCGTTCTTAAGACAGGATGTGAAAGTGCAAGATATTTCTTTGATTAAAAAGAAAAATTGTATTTTCAAGTAAAGGTTAAGATGTAACGGAAATCTTTTATAATTTTTTATGAAACTCAGGTGAGAAAGGAAGGATTGGATGACACAACTGCTTTCTTGGTTAAATGGGGTCCTTTATCCTCTCCATATTGATTCAACCTGCTTTACAATGAGATATGGAGAGGGGTGATAGGACAGAAACAGAGAGAGAGAGAGAGAGAGAGAGAGACAGAGACAGAGACAGAGAGACAGAGAGACAGAGACAGAGACAGAGAGAGAGAGAGAGAGACAGACACAATGAGAGACAGACACAGAGAGAGATACAGAGACAGACATACAGAGACAGATAAAGAGACAGATGCAGAGAGAGAGAGAGAGAGACAGAGACAGAGAAAGAGACAGACAGACAGAGAGACAGAGACAGACAGAAAGAGAGAGATAGAGAAAGAGAGAAAATAATGAGAGAGGACAATGATGTATATATATTAACATCATAGACTTTGGCGGCTTGACACTATTTTGAATTGTTGATGGCAGCCACTTGTGAAAGTTTCAGGCTTTAAAGTAGTCTAGGGAAGGGGGGAGGTGTGACCTAAATATTTTCTTGACATTCAATTTTTCCTGGGCCTGGAACATGATCTAGGATAACCTGCTCAACCCTCTCCAGGGCAAACATGGAGAGTAAACTGTTAACAACAGAATAATGAAAATCAATTTTCTCTGGGAATACAAGAATTGCCTGAAGGGTTTCAAGTCACTGATGAGGAATGGTAAGATCGTGGGGTCAAAAGGATTTTTAAAATAAACCCACTGATGTCTGGTCTAGGCCATTCTAAAGACTAGATAGCTTTAGAGAGTCTGCTATTTGTAATGTTCTTGGGCTTATTTCTGTAACCTGGCATGGCAAGCATAGTCTAATCACCAGACCCTGGATAGCGTCATGTGCTCTTTCCACATTCATACACATCATAACAACTTCACTGCTCCTGTCCTCGTTATGTTAATGATCTTCAGTGATCGCAGAGTCTGCAAGGGGACAAAAAGGAAAAAGAACGTACAGTATAGCAATCAGTATCTGTTACAAAAAAGTCAAAATGTATCTGTTGAAATAAACGGTCTTCTCAATGAATAATGTTAAAAGGTGATCAGTACAACAGCTATTGAAGCTCATGAAGAACGCATCTCCATAGCTCCTAAACCAGTTACAATTCAAATCGTCCTTGTTTTCACGAAGTGACGGTAGTGAGGAAAATCGTAACGCAAAGTGAATGCAATTTTTTTTCACTACCGTCACTTCGTGAAAACAGCGACGAAATGATGGTACGGCTTATGAGAAAGTCACTGCATCACAACCAGCAGACTGAAATGTTGAATAGCTTACATTATGAAGTAGGATATACATATACAAAATATATACTATGACATTACTTTATTTAGATTCATATTACAGCATACTTCTCCCTTTAAACATTGAAAATAAAGTATTACCCAATACAATTTCTTTCTTATTACGTCTTCTCACTTCTTTATGAACCTATGTATAATATACTACACTCTGTTAAATTCCTGGCAAATGAGAAATTTAAAACCAGACTTATTCAGTATAGAATTCAGGCTCATTGAGCTCAAGCATCCTCACTAAATAATGCATTGGTGTTTCACTCAGTTTGAGCACTCTTACGTTCCAATCATTTACAGGTAACATGCATCTCAGATTTAACATTGTTTAACAATGCCTTTAATCACTTACCTTGAGTTTAGCTTCTCCTGTAGCCCCTGTTATCTTCATACCCATCTTACTCATGTCAGGTACACTCAATGCAGCAGTGTTCCCTTCTGTCTTGAAGTGATCATGGAGTCTACTGTATACCTACGTGTACAATGAGAACCAAATATTGAATTAACTGTCTACAAAAGAATTGAAAATTGAAAACAATGGCATTCTAGAAAATGTTGGGAAGCAAGATGAATACCATGTTCTCTTAAATATGCTCACTCAATATTGATTCAATTTACTTTGACAACTGTCATCTAATTTGCATAAATAATACAATCAAAACTAAGTACATTTTGATCAGAAAATCAAAATGTATTTTTATCTAATAAGTTCGCTGTCCACATGTTTGTGTATATTGCCGCGCCGGTGTTCCACCAAATCTCAAATTAAATCCTAAACTCTTCTCTTGGTGGAACATCAGCAACACAATATACACACAGAAATCATGAATTTTATTGAATTGAATAATCTCTTGGAAATCAGTGCATATGAGAACACTGGACGTCTGTGAGACAGCATCAGGTACTGCCTTCTCTATCTGTAGGGCATTCATTGCTTAATTCAGCTTGACTTTATTGAATTGAACAATTGAACAATCAGTTGGTGTCATAGAACCTCCTGTACGCCAGACAGCTTCATAATGTATTGCACACAGTACCATGCTTGATGATGGAGAGGTAGAAAGGTATTAGAGGGGCTATGGAGTGGATTGAATCAATCAGCTAGTTCACAGATGCAATCTGCGCATGGGCAGATGAAGGTCATTTGTACCAAAATGGTAGAACCCACAGAGATGAATATGAAAGTTTATGTAACATTATTCATTTATGCACCAACGGTACATTCTATGATACGCAGGTGGAAGTATTCTTTTCAAGAGGTCAAACAAAAGGTATTCATGAAGCACATCTAGGACTTTGGCAGTTATTATTCTAAGATGCTCAAAGTGGAACTTCTCCATGTGTAAAAGATCTGTGGATATTTGGGGTCATTTGTACCATGAGCTTTCTGTAAACTCCCTTATTCTTTCATTGATAGCGATGAAATTGAAACTGACAATAATTATACAACATGTTAAAGCCATTACAAAGATGGGTGCGTTCTCACCCTGTTCACATCTTCAAGCTTTGCTCTTGCCCTAACGAGATCTGAGACTGATGTGAACTCCTCTTCGGTGATAGGGACCATGTCACTAGACTGGGATCGAAGCTCTGCTGGTGAAGGACCTGTCAAATCAACAAAATCATGAAAGAATTTGTCAGCCTAGTCATTAATTATATCATCTAGACCATAGCATAGTGTTCAAACAGTAATACCCTAGTCATCATATTTATGTATGCACATATTGCTCCGATTGTCTCATTTTCGCTCGCGTGAACATTGCCAGCACAAACCACTGACCTCTACCTCCTGAACGGATCATCGCCCATTCCCATTCACTATACGTTACGTACTAAAAGGCTGTATTGTCTGACCGTTCATGAATATTCATGTTTTTGCTAAACTCTGCAAAATGTTTGCTTTTACTAAATGGAAACATTACAGTGGGGGGTTGGATGAAATGGACATAATGAAATAGGCAGAAGTGATCTATGATAATTCATGCTTTTTATGTTTCGTGTGCTCGACCTATAATCTTCAAATCGCTTGGTAAACTGAGTCCAAAGTTAGACTTGTTTCACATGTGTATTATAGGCAAGGACGAGCTTGCAACCTATTTTGAAAAATTACGGTGGGTGAACTTTCAAAAGTTAATGAGACATGAGGGCTCCAATGAAAGAGCTAGTGATAACGTACGTCAGGGTGGATGTGCTTTTCGTTTAAACAAAAAATGAATTTTTAACGATTTTTAAAAAAAAAACGTCCATAGGCTAACATGTTAGGCTGCTGACTCTGATCATGCTCTGACGACAAGGGGCGTTGTGAAATGAGACTAAACGGAGCCATATGAAAATACATGGGCACCATCTCCACTCCCTGGGTAGTGTTTCTACTATACATGTTTCCACAGTAGCAACCAGAATGGCTTTCAGCATAATAACTATTGCCAATTTCTATCATGCATACATTCAATTATAGTGGCTATTATCTCTGATGTATAGAATAATGTTATCTTATATACTTTACAGAAACACATCTGCACTCTTTTCCCAACAAAATAAACGTTGTATTTAGTAGCGAAAGCTTTAATTCATAACACTACAAGAAAAACAGAAGTGTCTCATGTTTTATCGAGTTATGAAAGGATTCTGAAAATAGCATCGTACTAATGTAACATATTATATCTACATGTACAGTATGTACACTATACATGTTAATTAAAGGATTCCTTTAAAAAAGGTATTTTAGTCATGTCAAATGATGTATCTCTATGTGGAGGATTCCAATTGATATTACATCTTTATATCTACAGGTGAAATGGTTCCTACTAAAGGCAGCATTATCCTATTTATTGATGTCATTCATCTACATCATCTTCATGGAGCCAGAAGGGTGGTAACTCATCATTCTACATAGAGATATTGCTCTTCTGGTTCCAAACAGACAATAACCCTAAGAGAATTTACGAAAAGATTCACGAAATACAATCCTTCTATACATCAAATGTTATAGCTATTGTGACGGAATGTTACAGTGTTTAACCTGAAGAGGGCAACATTTTGGTCAGATTGATATAAGTGATTTGATAACGCTGCGAACGGGCAGTCCGTGTTTTGTATTGATGCAGTAAGGAATGCAGTAAAGTAAGCTGAAAGATCAAACATCATTGTAAGTTGTCGTTATTTGTCTCGGATATTACTTTGATTGAAGTGATTGATGAATGCATGATTGAGATCCTTGTTGAATAGTTGTGAGTTGTGAGAGTCGACTGTCTGGGAGAGTTGACTGATTTATAAGACGAGACCTGGTTCGTGTCGTTCGGAATTGCTACCAAGTTCATGGGTCATGCTTCCAGCGTGAAACTACATACTAAGACACGGACTCAAAACACGCCACCTTTTTAGGTGCTAACGTGAGCTGCGAACTATCGAGAAGTGCAGCCAGGTGAGGTGCCAAGTTGAGGTGCCAAGTTGAGGTGCAAGTTGAGGTGCCAAGTTGAGGTGCCAGGTGAGGTGCCAAGTTGAGGTGCCAAGTTGAGGTGCAAGGTGAGGTGCCAAGTTGAGGTGCCAAGTTGAGGTGCCAAGTTGAGGTGCCAAGTTGAGGTGCCAGGTGAGGTGCCAAGTTGAGGTGCCAGGTGAGGTGCCAAGTTGAGGTGCCAAGTTGAGGTGTCAGTTGAGGTGCCAATTGAGGTTCTACTTGAGGTGGAAGTTCTTTGTGCTACAGCTCTTAATAAATTCACCATGGATAAAAAGGAGCATCAAAGGTCCTCAGTTAATGAATGTGACCTAACTCAATTGAACACAGAGCTGGAACGTCTACGAATGGAGAATCAAATTTTACAGTTGGAACGTGACAATGCACGGTCAAAAATTAATCTGATAGAAGCAAGACAACAGGGATTGTCTTCACAAAGTACCGTCAAGCTTGGACAGTTCGAAGAACCATCTGTGAGAAGGAGAGTAGATACGGACATAGTTTTCAATGGACCGTACACTGAGAGAAACAAGGGTGAAAACACGCCCGAATGTGGAGAGAAGAAGGGCTTGTATCCTGAGCTATTGACCCCAGACCGGAAGGTTGGAACCGATTGTTCGACTCCTGTGCCGGATACCATGTTTTCTCAAGAGTTGGCTGGGGACATTGGGTCCCCTTTCCTTGAAGGATTCGATCCCAATTTTCCATGGGAAAAGGCCAGTGGAAGAACGAAATCGGCTCTTACGAAGAAGCCTGACAACAAGCAGGGTGATGTGGAAATAAAAGAAGAAGTTTCTAGAGATTGTTCAATAGGAACAAAACAGAGCCAAAGGCCTTGCATAACACCTGATCGGTTCAATGGACAAACATCGTGGCATCAGTACTTGAAACACTTTGAAGCATGCAAAGATATAAATGGTTGGACAGAGGAGCAGGCAAGTGCTTTTCTGACTGTAAGCCTTCAAGGTGAAGCACTCCGTCTGTTGGACCATCAGCACGATCGCAAACTTACGTATAGGGGACTGACCAAGCTCCTAGAGCAGCGATTTGGCCCAAGTCAACAGGCAGAAAATTTTCTGTTTGAATTGCGTCATCGCCGTCAAGGCCAAACAGAAACACTGAAGGAACTTGGCCAAGTCATATGTGAATTGGCAATCAAAGCCTACCCAGACATTCCAGAGGTTGGGAGAAAAAGGCTCGAGAAGAACCATTTTATTGAGGCAATAGAAGACCGGACTATCCGAGAAGGAGTGCACAGAGCTAGGCCAAAGGACATTGACGAAGCTATTCGTGCGGCCATAGAGACAGAGAACTATGAAAGAATCGAAGAAGAACGAAGATCGGAGAGACGTCCGCACAAATTGGTGAGGGGTTCAGAAAAGGAATCTGAGCAACTCATCCAGAAATTGGAGCATTTGTGTGAAAGGCAGGCAACACAATTCGAGACAATGACAAGGCTCATGAATGAAAGATTTCTTTCTTCTGAGAGAGTTCCCAAACCACCAACTCCTGGAAATTCCGGCAAGAAATGGCGGAGAAAAGAAGATTTGATATGCTTCAACTGCAACGAAAATGGACATTTCGCAAGGGAATGTCCTCTTCCTGAAAAGGAGAGGTCGGGAAACGACGAACAGCTGACCGGAAGGTCCACGGGAAGGCTGTAAGAAGTAACGGACCTAGTCGACTTGATGATGGAAGGATTGTAACACTTACACCTAACAAAGAACCCAAGCAAGGCTTATTTGTAGAGGGTACCATCAGGTCTATAAAATGTAGATTCCTCATCGATACAGGTTCAACTGACACAATTGTTAGAACTGACATGTACTACAGTATTGCGAAAGAGCAGAGACCGGTTCTTGAACAAGACAACGTCAGGGTTCAGCAGGTAGATGGAACGCCACTTGATGTGCTAGGAGTTGCCTGGACAGAAGTCAAAGTTGGAAAGACAATCTTTCCATTAAAGGTCATCTTTGCTAATATTAGGAACCAGGTAATACTTGGAATGGACTTTTTGATTCCAACCGCTGGGGTTCTAGACTTCTTCCGGCTGGAACTCATCTTGAACGGGGAACACATTCGATGCCTTAACCAGATAGGGAGATCATTCCTAAGAAGGATTTTAGTGAAAGAAACTATTGAGGTGCAACCAGGTCAAGAAACGCTCGCGCAAGGTGAGATCGCCAACTGTGTGGACGAGATGACGGGTACTGCCATAATCGAACCAGTTGCAGGCGGAGGCGAATTGGCTCGCCATGGGCTGGTGTTGGCAAGGTCCCTTGTCACTGCAGAGGCAGATGTTTTGCCACTGAGGTTGTTTAACCCGGGGAACAACAAGATAACACTTCGCCGGGGAACAATGGTCGGGATGATCTCACCAGCGGAAGTGCATGAAAGTGGGGAAAGGACAGAGAATAGTGGAAACGATGAAGTTCCTTCATACCTACAAGACTTGTTGCAACGAAGCCTGAGCAACATCGATCCGAAATATCACCAAGCTATCAAACAGTGCCTCGTGGATTTTCAAGATGTATTTTCTTCTGGAAGTCACGATTTGGGCCGGACCAATGCTGTCAGACACCACATCGAAACCGGCAATTCAAGACCTATAAGACAACGCCTTCGACGTCACCCTATCGTCAATCAGCAAGAGATTGATCGCCAAGTCAAATCATTAGTGCAAGAAGGTCTCATCGAACCTTCCGATAGCCCCTGGGCAGCCAATGTAGTGCTTGTGACTAAGGAGGACGGTACAAAACGGTTGTGTGTAGATTACCGCGGCCTGAATGTAGCAACTGTAAAAGACGCCTACCCTGTCCCCCGAATAGATGAGACCTTGGATGCACTAGGCGGGGCCAAGTGGTTTTCAACCTTAGATCTAGCTGCAGGCTATTGGCAAGTTGCCCTTGATAATGAAGCTCAAGACAAATCATCTTTTGTGGTTCGCGGTGGCCTATACAAGTGGAAGGTAATGCCATTTGGGCTGTGTAATGCCCCCGCAACTTTCGAGAGGTTGATGGAGAAAGTGATGGCTGGTCTACAATGGGACATATTGCTCATCTATTTGGATGATGTAATAGTGTTCGGTCGGACAGTTGATGAGCAAATCGTACGACTTCGCACAACATTGGCGCGGCTCCGGGAAGCCAATTTGAAATTGAAACCATCCAAGTGCAATTTGTTTCAACAGTCGGTGAAATACCTAGGTCACATCGTGTCTTCAGAAGGAATCACAACCGACCCTGCCAAGGTCGAGACCATTCGGAATTGGCCCAATCCCACATGCAGCAAGGATGTTCGAAGCTTCTTGGGGCTTGCATCCTATTACCGCAAGTTCATTCGCGGGTTCGCATCCATCGCATCACCACTTCATGAACTGACTGAGAAGGCTAGGCGTTTCGAGTGGAATGACGAATGTCAAAGAGCTTTCGAAGAGTTGAAGGAGTGCCTTATCCAGGCTCCGATCCTAGTATGTCCCTTACCAGAGGGGGATTTCCTGCTTGACACTGATGCCAGTCAGAATGGTATAGGGGCTGTGTTGTCCCAAATTCAGGAAGGCGAGGAAAAAGTAGTCGCTTACGCAAGCAAGAAGCTATCGAGGGCTGAGAGGAACTACTGTGTGACCCGTCGCGAGCTGCTAGCAGTTGTGTTCTATTTGAAATACTTCAAGCAGTATCTCTACGGTAGGAAGCTGACCGTTAGAACAGACCACGCTTCTTTGCAGTGGCTCCTCAACTTCAAAAATCCAGAGGGCCAATTGGCACGTTGGATCGAGGTTATCGCAGCATACAAACTGACAATACACCATCGTCCAGGAAAGAAACATGTGAATGCCGACAGTCTGTCCAGAAAACCATGTTCTCAGTGTGGCCTTGTTGATGACACAAGTGACGGCGAAGACACATCTACAGAGACAGATACTCCCTCCGAGCAAGTCCAGTTCCATTGTAGGGCAATTATTGCCTTACCTGGGGTCACTCGAGAGGCCTTAAGAGAAGGCCAGTTGGAAGATGATAGTATGAGCTGGGTATTGAAGGCTAAGGAAGGAAGAAGCTGTAGACCAGATTGGGAAACAATAGCCAACTCGACAGCTGCAAAGAAAACGTACTGGGCTCAGTGGGACCAATTGGATTGCAAGCAAGGAGTACTATGCAGAAAATGGGAGACGTCGGATGGGGCATGCGTGAAATGGAAGGTTATCCTGCCACGGAAGTACCGAAAAGAATACCTAGAAGCAATCCATGGGGGTACAATAGGAGGTCATCTAGGCGTTACCAAGACATTGTCAAACGTAAAACAGAGGGTTCATTGGTCAGGCATGTCAGGAGACGTGAGGTCATTCATCCGGTCGTGTGACCTGTGCGCCAGAAGAAAATCCCCCTCAAAGAGGGCACGTGCTCGACTTCAACAGTACGAGGTGGGAGAGCCAATGGAAAGAGTAGCAATGGACCTTGTCGGGCCTTTACCAAAGACCATCCATGGGAATCAGTGGATCCTTGTAGTAGGGGATTATAAGAGCAAATGGATGGAAGCGTATGCGCTTCCGGATGCTCGAGCTACAACAGTGGCCCAAAAGTTTGTCGAAGAATTTGTGTGCCGTTTTGGTGTCCCTCGTGAACTACATACCGATCAAGGAACTAATTTTGAATCGCAGGTGTTTGCAGAGATGTGTTCCCTGTTGGGCATTCGAAAGACAAGAACAACAGCTTACAACCCGAAATCAGATGGGCTCATTGAGAGGTTCAACAAAACCCTCATCAATATCACCGCCATGCTCATCGAGCAGTCAAAGAAGTCTAGGGAATGGGATGAGTGCTTGCCATATGCAACTAGCGCATATCGCTGTACTGCACAAGAATCCACGGGAGAGTCAGCCAACATGCTCATGCTCGGGAGAGAAGTGACGCTTCCAATAGACCTGACTATGGAGAATCCAAAGTATCCTAGCTGTGATGAACCAAAAACAGACTACGCTGAAAAGCTACGCCAGAATCTACAACAAGCTCACGAACGGGCTAGCGAGTGTCTTAGGAAGAGTGCCAGGCGTCAGAAACGCAATTATGACAGGAAAGCTACCACCACTAATCTCAAGGAAGGACAGTTTGTTTGGTTATATGATCACAGCAAGAAGAAGGGGGTTTCCCCGAAATTACAGCTGCGATGGATGGGTCCTTACCTAGTGGTTACGAAGATCTCAGATGTTACGTTTCGGATTCAGCTGAGTCGCCGATCGAAAGCAAAGGTAGTACATGTAGATAGGCTCAAGCTGTACACTGGTGAAGATCTTCTTGCATGGGAGTATCGCCTTAGAGTTCCTGAGGAGGAATTTCCCTTTGCTGATTCTCCTAATCTTTCCCCTGAGGTCATACCAGAAGAGATCAGCCCTGCCAGTGATGAAACTTTGTCAGATGATCATCAACCCCAGCTTGATGAGACCCCTGCTGATGACCAACCCCAGCTTGATGAGAACTTGCCTGATGATCATCAACCCGGGTTCGATCTTCCCACTGATCTACCTCAGACTCCCGTGATTGAGAGTCGCTATCCCAGAAGAAAACGAAAACCACCAGATTTCTTTTATTAAATAAGAATTATCGACATAAATAATTATTTGTGTTTTGTTCTTCACAATTGCAGGATAATGTCTGAGGAGTGGAAGAAACCAGAGGACTTGGATGGGGACCGGCTTTACAAGTGCCGAGAATGTCTTTCCACGTTCTTGTACCACCGCAGCCTGATGCGCCATATCGGGGAGAACCATCGGGATGGATCCCGGAAGTGGAACTGCAAGACCTGCGATTATTCCTCTACCAGGCGGGGGAATTATGAAAGGCACGTGGACGGACACCGAAAGGATGAACAGCGCACGGTTTCCAGAAGAGAGTCGAGCAAAGAAAGAGAACCGGTGGGCCGGGGCGGTGAAAGGGCAAAATCCCCAGATCGACGTTGTCCGGAGACGAAGAGAGACGACAGAGACCAGCCACAGGAAAACAACACAGCCATTATAAGTGTACATCCAACTCCAGTGCCTAGTATTGATTCTTCCAGAGATGCCAGAGGCAAGCCTCTTGCCATGCTTAAGAGAGCCGCATCCCAGGATGAGGTGGTTTCGTCATCGTCATCAGCATCATCTTCGTCGGAGGAAGCTGAGAGTGGAGGAGAGGGTGCCACTGGAAATGCGCGTACAGACAGACCGGTTTTCAAGAAAGCGAGAGTTGAGAAGAGGATTACGACGACCTTTACTATTGAAGGACGCGTAGTTCGTACGAGAAAGACGAAGGAGTTCTTCGACCGCTTCATACTTGTTTAAGTTAACACTAAGTCTTACTGGTTTACTTGATCTGTTTTGATTACAACTATAGGCCTCAGTTTACAATTTGCTTAAATCAGGTAGGCCTACTAGAGGTCAGGTTTTTTGTTGTTGTTGTAACTTAAGTATTACTAGTGATCTTACGAGAAAAGTGTTTTGATATTCTTTACATTTCCAAACGTATTTTGGACATTGTTGATCAATGTCTTTGTATTTGTGATTACTTGTGTTATATAATTATATATCTATAAAAATAACAGGAAGAAGAGAAAAAGGCAAATGTGTAGCTTATTACGTTGATTTGCTTGGACTTTCTTATAGATTGGTTAGGAAAACAAGAATTAATAGTAAAAACCGTTTTACATGTTTTTAATGCCTATATTGTTGAGCTATGTTTAAAATGTCGTTTCGGTAGGTTTAGAACGAGGACGTTCTAGTCTAAGTGGGGGGTTGTGTGACGGAATGTTACAGTGTTTAACCTGAAGAGGGCGACATTTTGGTCAGATTGATATAAGTGATTTGATAACGCTGCGAACAGGCAGTCCGTGTTTTGTATTGATGCAGTAAGGAATGCAGTAAAGTAAGCTGAAAGATCAAACATCATTGTAAGTTGTCGTTATTTGTCTCGGATATTACTTTGATTGAAGTGATTGATGAATGCATGATTGAGATCCTCGTTGAATAGTTGTGAGTTGTGAGAGTCGACTGTCTGGAAGAGTTGACTGATTTATAAGACGAGACCTGGTTCGTGTCGTTCGGAATTGCTACCAAGTTCATGGAACCAGATCTCGTCACACTATATATGAAAGGATTCATGAAATAGTATCTTACCGATGTCAAATGTTGTATCAATGGGTGAAAGATTTTCTTCTCCCTCCGCAGTGTGTAACTCCTCATCAAGCTGCAAAGGCTGCAGTAGAAACACAAAGTATTTGTCATAAAATATGCCAATTTTCAGCAGCTAGAAACGACATAGATGTTGAAACACTTTTACTTCCCATCAGGCATCATGTTTACTAGGAGTGAAATGAATTCAATTTCAATTTCAATTTGAAAGCAAACAAGGCTAAATAGGGAGAGGGTGGGGAAGGAGGTAAAATCGTCATCTTCTTTTTACATTGCTTTCCCCAATCTCTCTCACAGCTTAAATGTTTCATTAACACCATAAAAAAATAAAAAAAATCCATTACTGTTATTCTTATTGGTTCTGATATATAGAACGTTTATATATAATTTTACTGTACAAAACACTCAATATCAGTTTTACATCACCCCCCCCCCCCCCCATTCAAAGACGACTGTTAAATGCTTCCAACTTTTAGTAATAACCATTCTAACTGAAATTACATTGACCTCACAGAAAGTCATCAAAACAGAAGTATTTACCAAATGAAATGAAACCTGACTTACTGGTACACGAGTCTGTTCTGATCCTGGTTGAGATGAGGTTGAGCAATGAGCTACAGGGGCAGGTGCGGAGGATGATACCGGTATACCAAGGATGGACTGAACAAGAGCTTCTTGCTCGGATATATCTGGGAGCTGACAACAAAACAAACGTCTTCAATAATGAAGAATTCAAATCAAATGAGTATACATGAAAGGAGACAAAGGAGAGAGAGAAAGCAAGAAATGGAGACTGACAAAGAGAGACAGAGAGACTGAGAGAGATAGAGAGACTAAGAGGAGGAGGGAGAAGAGGTACAGAGTAAGACAGAGAGACAGACAGAGAGTGGTGAAGCAAGAGAGAGAGAGAGAGAGAGAGAGAGGGGGGGGGGAGAAACGTTTAAATATGTGGCATGAATCAATATTTAATGTAACATCACCACTGAATAACGCTAAAGTAGAGAAGATGTCATGTATCGATGGAAGGCGTGGTTTGCAAAGAACAATCCCAATGAAAATTTGTCTTTTCAGAATAAACTGATAAAGCTTGATGCAAGCCACACCTAAAGATAGATTGTATAATGGGGCTTTACTTTAGGTAGCCAAGCTCTTTATGAACTAGGTACCAAGCACAAATGACCCTCTAAATCCAAAATCTTCACATCTTAGCCATCCATTAACAGACACAGCAGGATTGGTGAGCCAAAATTTGCTTATGTGACATTGTTCAGGACTTTATTTAGTCAAAGCTTTTGGGTTACAGTTAAGTTATGGTAAGGTTTTAGGTTAAGCAGAGGTTTGATTATGGTTAGGTTCATGTACATTGTTGAGGATTGGGTTGAATTTAAGAATTTTAATAGCATAAGAAAAGTGACTGCGAGCACTTATTGTTCAAGCATGTGTCATACAATGACAGGATCCCTTTGTTTTGACAATATTATGAATAAATGAGTGTAAATTCCTGCTTTCAAGGCATGACTAACCTCTGTGCCTGATGTTTGATGAAGCCTCTGTAATGCATGTGAAGCTGACATAAGCTGTTGTTTGATACCAGAGACCATCTCTTCCTGTGCTTTCTTGATACCTTGAGCTTCCTCCATGATGCTCTTATAATCATGTTTGACTTGCTGCAGTCGCTGGCTAAGCTCAAGGGGTGAGGTCTGCAAAACAAGTTAATCATACATGCCTTAGGGTTCTATTCTACACACTTTCATGGCTTAGTCTTAATTATGTAGTGTATATTGAACATTTTATAACAAATGTGTGAAAACATACATTTTCTTCCTGGGATATTGTTTGTTTGCGTTACATGTGATTTCATTTCAACCATATGGTACTTCTTTTTGTTATATTTTAACAAAATCTTTTGTAAAAGCAATTTTGTAAATGAAAACATCATTCCTATGACTCTCTTTCACAAAAGGCATATAGATGGCTGAAGAGACAATTCATTTCCAGTTAAGGATTCGATCTCAATCACTAATACAAGGCCATTAAAAAAAATATACATGTTTAGCGTCCCCGCCCGCTTCCTTTTTGGGGGCCGCCTAATATTTTTTAAAAATTTTTTTGATTTTTTTTTTTTTTTTTTTAAAGAAAAAAAACATGAAAAACACTGCTAAAATTGATCTATTTCTGATTTAAAATTTTTTTTTTTAAATATGTCGGCGGCCATCTTGAAAAATAGCCCCTACTGTCAGGGAAAATGTACAGAGCGACCATTTTGAGCGGCCATTTTGAAAGAAAAAAAAAAAGAAAAAGGGCCTCCTCCTTCCTATTTTTCGAAAAAACAGGACGCTAAACATGTTTTTTTTTTTTTTTTGCCCAATCATTATTCTAGAAGAAGGGTAACAAATCACTCCCTAATAGCCTTGGTAAATTATCCATACTTACAACAGTTTTAAGACATAACTTTTTAAATCTTATGAAAAGTATTTGAAAAAGAGTAACATATTAGGTCTATTATTAATCATCTTGACCAGTTGGAAACAATTTGATTTATGTTCAATAAACAATCCAGGGTGATCTTAGGTTCAAAAAGTGTTATAACTACAAAGAAAAGGACTGATAGAAATCTCACAACCAAGATCAGATCCTAGTACACATATCTTGGAAGAAAGGACAAGGACAAAAGATTCTTACCTGATCCTTTTCTTGGGCTCCTTCTTGAAACTCACTCTCAACCTTCCTGGACATGTATTCTACATCAGACTCGGCCTTCTGAAACTAAACAAATGAATAACAATATTCAGTCTAAAAGAAATCCTTGTTGACAAGACCATTTTAGGTTTCGTTTACATCACATTCAAGCTTCATGCAGGCAAATTAGTGCCAACTATTACTGAGGATAGGTGATATCAATTAGGGCCAAGTTACTGACCTCCCTTTGCCTGCTACTTTTTACACTTATGCTATAGTAATACATAGTATAATTGTAAAGTAGGTTGATCTATCAATTTGTCAACGCAAAAAAAAAAAACTATTTTCGAGTACACCGCATGTATTTGCATTTCTGGCAGAACAAAAACATCGCACCGATCACGAACTCTCAAAAATCTCACGAGAACTTAAGCTTGACTGAAAAGTCAGCGTTTTTGTAATTTAAATCCTATGTTAACTCATTATCATCAGGAACATGTGAAAGGTAAGCAAATCGTCATTACACTGGATGACCGGATTCTAGAATCAAATAATCACGAGTTGGGTACATTCTTAATTGATATTAATTGACCTTTATCTGTAGGGGCGCTGGTCGGGGAATAAGGATCGTCTGCAAAAATAAGCATCGTCCACATTTTCGCTGACAATTATGATTTCCCATCCGCGCGTTGGCGATGCGAAAAACAGATTTCGGATCATTTCGCAATGATTTTCTTGATGCATTTCACATTGACTTTATACAGAGACTTTCACGTTACGAGTGATAAATCCCGGGAAGACAGACACCCTATAAAAGTAGACGGTGAAATGAATTGGGGGTATTTTATTGCGCGGTAGATTTTTTTCTGTTTTTCACATCGCCAGCGCACAGTTCAGGAACCTGAAGAAACCTGCAGAGCGCCGAAGAAAAAAACCTCCGCGAAAATGCGGACAATCCTAATTTTTAGGACGCGTTTACGAGGGACATAAGACTATGCGAACAAATTGCGCCCTAAAAAATAAGGATGCGAAAAACAGAGGTTGAATCGATGATTCACGTCCATGGATGAATCGTCGGGTTCACGAAGAATCACCCTTTTTCCCATCAAACTCAAAGACTTTATTTTTAGACTTCTTCAAATTATCAAGTGGTTGGAACTTGGAACGATGCCTAGATCTAGAGGAGCCGAAAAACATTGTAAATCAAAATTTTAATTACTACCTTTTGACATGTCGAAAATAAGGTGACCCAACCCGGTGTTTGAATCGTTTTCCTGTAGGCCTACGAGCTCCGACGCCTTCGGCATCGGCGTCGGAGCTCCCTGGAGTTAGTGGCAGTGCATTGCACTCTCGCGCTCGCGACCGCTCCACTATTTTTTTATCCCGACTTCAATCCCGTTCAATTTACATAATTCTAAATAGGCAACTACCATTGCTTCAAGCTTGTCCACCATCCTCTCCATCTCTTGTGCTTGGTCTCCACTCATATTTGTCATGTTCTCCAACTTTTCTTCAGTTTATTAGACCGAAAATCTCGCCGAAGAAACTAGAAAATCAAATTTAATCTGTCCGCCGGGCGAATTTTTTTTCCGTACTCGAGAGGGCAAATACCCCATGTGCGCATGCGCGTGGACTTGTGATTTCTCTGCTACTTCCCATACGAAATGTACATGTATTCGCATCTACTGTGCACGATTCGCGTTCTACGAGTAAACGATGGCATAGTAGTCTTCAAACACAGACTCTGATTTGCCAGTTTGACAAATCAATATGCGTATATCGTGCGTAGCAATAGTACTAGTATTCAAGTCTGAGTAGTTGTATGATTCAGACATTTTAGTGCTTACAGAAATGCATCCCAAATTGAATAGCATGGTATAGTAGTCTGCAAGCACAGACGCTAATCGGACAGTTTGACAACATAGTGTCTTGAGTAGTGCTTTATATTCAAATATGTGTAGTTTTATGATTCAGACCCTACTGGTGCGTGTATTGGAAAGGCATCTCAACTTGCAGAGTGGCATAGTAGTCTGCAAGCACAGACGCTAATCTGACAGTTTGACAAAATAGTGTTATTCAAGTCTGAGTAGTTTTATGATTCAGACCCTACTGGTGCGTGTATTGGAAATGCACCTCAACTTATAGAGTGGCATAGTAGTATGCAAGCACAGACTCTCCTTTGACAGTTTGACAGAATAATAAAGGCCTATTGTGTATTGAGTAGTGCTTTTATTCAAGTTTTCGTAGTTTTCTGTGTTGTGCCACTGCTCTCTCACTCTCTCTCTCTCTCTCTCTCTCTCTTTCTCTCTCTCTAGCTCTCCCTCCAGTATGCTCGCACTCTCTGTATTACTTTTATTTATAATCATGGTCTGCTGAGAGCCAGAAGGATGTTAACTCTTAACACAACGAATGCCCTTCTGGCTCTGAACAAACGATAGTAGGCCTATATATGATAAACCCACACACCATAAGGTCATTTATTGGCCTTCTCAAAACCGTCATTCTGTAATAATATTTCTAACTTTGGTCTAATAACTCTTTTGTCAGTGCAATCAATGGTCGAACGCACCAGTAGGGTCTGAATCATACATCTACGCAGACTTGAATAAAGTACTTCTCAGCACACTACTAGTATGTTGTCAAACTGTCAGATTAGCGTCTGTGCTTGCAGACTACTATACCATTCTATACAAGTTGGCGACTTGAATAAAGTACTTCTCAGCACACTACTAGTATGTTGTCAAACTGTCAGATTAGCGTCTGTGCTTGCAGACTACTATACCATTCTATACAAGTTGCAATGTATTTCCATATGCACTACTGGGTCTGAATCATACAACTACACAGACTTGAATAAGCACATCGCGACACATACGCATATTGATTTGTCAAACTGGCAAATCAGAGTCTGTGTTTGAAGACTACTATGCCATCGTTTACTCGTAGAACGCGAATCGTGCACAGTAGATGCGAATACATGTACATTTCGTATGGGAAGTAGCAGAGAAATCACAAGTCCACGCGCATGCGCACATGGGGTATTTGCCCTCTCGAGTACGGAAAAAAAATTCGCGTCCGCCGGGTCTGAAAACTGAAGGTAGTGAACTGTGGTTTACCTCGAATTCATTATGGTATCTTTGAAACAATCAATAATTGAACCGTTATCTGTTTCCACACATAATATGCATGCTTTTACTGTGAGAGGAAAACAAATAGGCATACTCTGTCTGTGGAAAGAATTTGAGATTTTGAGTGACATTTTTTCCGTAGGCCTACTGATGAGGGCAATTTTTCTCACATTCAATCTTTAACAGTGAAAACTTCTTGTCTTTATTTTGCTTTGGACATGAATGAAATCCAATAATTTCCTGTTCGATCTCAATCTGAATGAAAAGACTAAGGCCATCACAGGCAAATATAACCCAAGGTCGCGGCCTCCCGGATCAAAATTCCAATAGGATCCGATAGCCTATATTGGACCCACATAAACCAATAAAAAATATCTATTGGACCAACACCAACGCACAGAAAAATATGCTAATGGACCAACAGAAAGCTTCTATTGGACCAACATCCATCCACGTCTTGTGGGTTTCTGTTGGTCCATTAGATATTTTCTTCTATATGGGTTCCTGTTGGTCCATTAGAGATCTTTCTTTGGGTTTCTAATGGTCCCATATTCTTAATTCCCTATTGAAACCAATAGACTTATTGGTTGTTACTTGTTAGAGGTGCAAAAGTTTCTGTTGGCTTCTATCGGTAAATCAATAATGATAAATCAAAAATCGATTTTAGCAACTGTCCACTAAAAAGGTATATTAAAAACTCAATTGCATTAACTCCATCACAGAGATCACTTGAAGTGAGTTTATTAAAAGAATGTCCCTTTTTTAAGTGGAGGCTTGTACTATCCCTTACAAAAAAGTTGTATAGAACTCTATAACATTCCAGATTCTCTATAGAACTTTTAAGGATTCTCTATAGAAAGCGGTTTCCTCTATAGAATTCTATAGAATAAGTTTTCTATAGATTTAGATTTCTATAGAAAAGTTAATTTTCTATAGAATTTTTAAGGTTGTCTATAGAAATCAGTTTCCTCTATACAATTCTATAGAATAAGTTTTCTATAGATTGAAATTTCTATAGAAAAGTAAATTCTCTATAGAATTTTTAAGGTTGTCTATAGAAATCAGTTTCCTCTATAGAATTCTTTAGAATAAGTTTTCTATAGATATAAATTTCTATAGAAAATTTAATATAAAAAATGGCGTCCCCACTTCTCTATAGAATTTTTAAGGATGTCTATAGAAACTTTTTTTCTCTATAGAATTTTATAGAATAAGTTTCCTATAGATCTAAATTTCTATAGAATTCTATAGAATTTTTTTCTATATGAAGATATGTATCTCATGCATATTCATGATAATTTGCATGTTTTCACAGAAAATGTAATTATCATGATCTGTCAAGCAAATGTGACAATTAACATCAATTTTGTGATTTATATTTTCTTAGTCAATTATTGTCAAATATAATATTATGTCCGATTTTTTTAAACATGTAACTTAAGACGTAAAATAGATATATTAATATATGTAATTTACTAACCAGTAAAAACATGTATAATTTTGTATATATGTATGTAAGATCTCCGCACTACTTAATTAACAATATACTCAACTGTATTTTGCTTCAAATGATCTTTGTGATGGAGCAATTGCAGGAGCCTACCCAGATAGCAAAATGTTGTGGGGCCCATCTGGGTTTTATCTGGTTACAACTGGGCTGGCCCACTTGGCCCAGATGGGCCAGCCCATCTATTGCCCACTTGGCCCATCTAGTTAGCCCATTTGGGTCCCAGATGGGCCCCATGTGGGGCCCAGCAATCTGCACCCGGGTTATAGAAGGGCCCCAGATGGGCGGCCCAGATTGGACCCACTTGGCCTAGATGGGCCCCACAATTGGCCCATCAATATACACAAGGGTTACCTATTGGGCACCAGATGGGCCATGTGGGTTATATGTGTGACCTACCACATTCTATATATGGGTCAAGTGGGTTCTATATGGGCCCCATATGGGCTATAAGCGGGTTTTTACATGGGATCCATATGGGCCAAGTGGGTTTGATATGGTCCCATATGATCCAATGTGGTTCTAAATGGGCTTCATTGTTTAAATGGGTTCTATTTTTACCCAGTTGCTGAATTCATTTATCCCATTTCAATTTCCAGGGTTACCAGTTGGGTTTAACTGGACCAGTCGTACCATTTGGCACAACTTTCAACCAGTTGTTAGCTCCAATTAGCAGTCTTAATTAGTAATTTATGTAGCACTTGTACTAATTAATTTTGCCGTTGGCAACAACACATCGTCTAAAATTTCCAATGTAAAGGCATTGGTATTAAGAAGACTTGGTTATTTTGCGGTGATGAGACATTTCCATATACTTGTATTTTATTGAATCTTTTTTCGGTCAATACTCATAGTTAGTGTTTTTCCTAATTCATGTTTAATTAAATGTAATGTATACAAAGTAGTGAAATGTCCTAATAATTCGTCGCCGTTTTCACGAACCGGCACAAGCCACCGAAATCCCTTCAAAATGTAGTTTTTATTTTTTTTGCATTTTTAGCATAAGTTATCAACAATCTTTCATCTCACCAAATTTCAGCATCCAAAACGCTTTAGTTTTTGAGATATCCATGGTTACACAAATGACAAAAACGACCCACGAGCCAAAAAGCACGATTCATATTTTCACGAACCGGCACGCGCCGTTATAAGTCAATGGGCTGTGCCGGTTCGTGAAAATTATCTTTGCGCTTACAAGACCTAGACGACGCGACACAGGCGGTTGTGCCGGTTCGTGAAAATAAAATACGCGCTAAGACAGCGCGAGCGCTTTTGTCTTGCGCGTAAAGTTACATAGGAAAAACGACACAGTGGCTTGTGCCGGTTCGTGAAAATATTTTTGCTACGTAAACAGCAAAATAATATTTTCACGAACCGGCACGAGAGTCCAAAGCTTCGTAATATTAATAGCAATTGTCATTATGCTTAACAAATGGAATGTATAGAAAATACAGAATATTTTCCTTTCATTGATATGTATTTTGTGATATAAAATTTGACATAAGGCATGTTTCTGGCGAATTCAAAACGGGCTAAACGTAAAACGCGTTTTTCTCAGAATGTACTTATTTCGTTGCGCGTTGGGCTGTGCCGGTTCGTGAAAACGGCGACGAATTAGCAATTTACATTTAATAGTATTTTCGAAATGAATTGCTTATAACTAAATCATCAGCAATTAGGAAAGATCCTGTAAATTCAGATAAATTGTAAAAAAACATAGATATGCACGCACCCCATATTCATTATGCAAATTCTGGGTATATTTTGTGGGTTTTGGGTGGGAAGGCCCATCTGGTATACATCTGGTTTTCAGCTGGGCGAAGACAATGTTGGACTTGCGATTTTCACCACCAAAAACCCACATGGGGCCCACAAGGGGCACATATGTGTTGGTACTTGTGGGTTTTTGGTGGGAAGGCCCATCTGGTATACATCTGGTTTTTAGCTAGGCCCAGCCGATGTTCGACGTGCGATTTTCACCACCAAAAACCCACATGGGGCCCACATGGGGCACATATGTGTTGGTACTTGTGGGTTTTTGGTGGGAAGGCCCATCTGGTATACCCCTGGTTTTTAGCTGGGCCCAGCCAATGCTCGACGTGCGATTTTCACCACCAAAAACCCACATGGGGCCCACATGGGGCCCACATGGGGCCCATATGCGTGGGTTCTGGGTGGGAAGGCCCATCTGGTTTTTGTATGGGCCACGTGGGCTTTAGCCATCCCATACAAAACCCAGATGGGCCCCAGATATTTTGCTATCTGGGTATATTATGGTGTAGTCGGTGGCTAGATGTCATGCAATATTGATTATTAATAATCAATTGATTGCTGGTCGCTACTGAATAGTAAACTGGTTTTCAACTGGTAAAAAATGGTCTATAGAATTATTTACAAAAAAAGTTCTATAGAATTCTATAAAAAAAATCTATAGAATTTCTATAGGCCATTCTTTCTATAGAATGTTTTATAGAGATTCTATAGAGGTCCGTTACAAATTTCTATAGAATTTTTATAGAAAAGTGGCCCACTTTTCTATAGAATCTCTATAAAACATTTCTATAGAATTCTATAAAACAAATTCTATAGAATTTCTATAGGCCATTCTATAGAATGTTTTAAAGAGATTCTATAGAGGTCCGTTATAGATTTCTATAGAATTCGTATAGAAAAGTGGCCCACTTTTCTATAGAATCTCTATAAAACATTTCTATAGAATTGCGTATAGAAATTCTATAGAATTTTTTTTATAGAATTCTATAGAACTTTTTTGTAAGGGATTCTAGATGATAAACATACATGTTGTGTCTTGGTTAGTTCGTTCGTTCGTGTCTCCTTAGATCAAGATCAATGTAATCTTGATCTCACTTGCTACAAAAGGCCGGCCGTGTCAGACACGTTGCCCCGGGGTACGAGATAGTAATCTTGGTTAGTAATCATTATAATCAATATATCTATTGCTAGAACGTGAATGTAATTGTAACATGGTCAGACAAATAATCTATTGGTCATTAGTTGCCGAAAGAAAATGAAAATCACAAAATTGATGCATGGTCATAAGTTACTTAACAAATTATGATAAATGTAAAGTAATCATGAATATGCATGAGATATATTAGGCTGTTGGTTTCTATGTTTCTCAATTTTATTGGTCATATTAGTTTCTATTGGTCCCATTGGGTTCTACATTGTCTCAAGTTGGTTTTCTATTGGTCCTATTCCTATTGGTTTCTATTTCTATTGGTTTCTATGGGTGCGATTGGTTTCTATTGGTTTCTGATGGTTTGAATGGTCTCTATTGGATTCAATTCTAGGGGTCCAACATAAACTGATAGACTCCAACAGAGACCAATATAATTGTTCTAATGGTCTCTATTATATGGGATTTTCGACCTGGGCTATATCTCAACGAACTACATCCCATCTTTCCTTATCTCTCAGTTTCTATTTCCCTCCCACTCCCTAGTCTCCGAGCTATATCTCTCTCTGCTCTCTCTCTCCCTCTCTCCCCCCCCCCCTCTCCGACACAGGCTCCTCCTCCTCCTCCTCCTCCTCCCCCTCTCCATCTTTTTCTCTACTGGTGATATTTTTCAGTACAAAGTGCTATCATGAGCAATAAACAATAATACCTAAATACTTTTTCTTCATGTGTCATATGTTTATACAATGTAGGCCTACTGTACTCTTGTCACACCAAGAATCCCAATTTTTACTTTTTAATACCTATTATTATCTTATTGTCTTCAAGTACAATCAGATGCCTTTGATTTTGCAATAAAAATAAATACTGTATTATACTATCATCAAAAAGTGGGCCTAAACACAATACATCGTTATTTATTTTTCACTGTCTTGAAATTACTTCTTTACCGTCATCTGAAAGGTACCATAAAATCATCGCTGAAATATCAACCCGCCGTTTCAACATAATATAAAGAATTCTGATTGGTTGAGCTCAATGTAAACGTCAGTTTGATCAGCTGGCAGCGGTAAATACGGAAACAGATGTGCCCTCCTAACTTTTAAGCCTTAAGGTAAGCAACTTCTAAAATTACATTTTATTACAGAAAAGAAAGAATTGATTAAATTAACTTCAGGGACATAAATGCTTTGCTCTTTTGTCTTATATACATTTATATTAATTTGAATAAGGCCCTGAATAACAGCTTGAATTGCATGCCCTCGCGTTGTGCCACTTCTGAATGTGGAGTTGTGTACAGTGGTAGTGATCGTGCATGTGATGATCTGTGTGTGTGATTACATTCATTGTCAATGCGTACGTCCGCAGCTCAGCTGCATGCAGCATTCAAAAAGGCAAAGGCCAGGGGCAGTATTTTAGATTGTTGTAAGTTTTGTCTCATCTGTTGTTGTATCTTCCAGACATAATAGAGTGCTAATATTGTTAAAAGTTGGTATTCTGCAAATTATCTTAGCCGGCCTTATTATTAATTATAATCTCTTGAATTGAAGGACCGCCGCGCCTCTAATTCTATCTTATCTTTTTCTTTGAGTTTGACACGCCCATTTTTGTGGACCCTACCAAATTAGTACCAATCAATACCAATCAATATCTATTATATATAAGCATGATAAGTACTAGCTAGTACTAGGTCAAAAGTTTGAGCACAGGCAAAGCTCAAAGAGATGTCAGAAAAGAAGACAAAAGTTACAACAATTTTCAGAAAACCAACTTGGTCAATCTATAAAACCAACAATAACAGCAAAGATACAACAATATTAGAGATAAAACAAGTTTCAGAACACGGCCTCAGGCCAAGCTGAATATAATAATTCATGAAAACATAAAAACATGGGGTTAGGAGCCCCTGAAGAAGTTTGAAAACAAACTTGTGGTTGGGGCACCAACCATGACACATATATCAAGAAATTAACAAAAACAACATTAACAGGAAAACAAATATACCGGGTATACAAAAGTATGCCATGTAATGCATTTTCAAAAATGAAACGCAACTTCATCTGTTTATCCAATGAGAATCACAGATTTGGTCAGTTCAAGGAATATCATTTGATGTAAGGAGTTGAGAGTTGCATTAAGATTTATGGCATACCATACCCCTAGAGATAGAAATACACCAGCAAATTACAATGCTTACTGTTTTCACATTCTTGGCTTTAATCCTGCTCTCTCTCTCTCTCTCTCTCTCTCTCTCTCTCTCTCTCTTTCTCTCTCCTCTCTCTTTCTCTCTCCCTCTCTATTTCTCTATTTCTACCAGATGAAGCACCGCAGCAATAAAGTGAACTTCTTGTCATTTTCATCTCGGCGTAAGAGAAGAGGCAATCGGAGGAAAGTTAGGGAACTGTCCAAAAGTCTGTCAGACTCAACAAATTCAGGACTCGTTGAGGAGAGTGGTGCTTCATGTACTATGGAGATTGATGTCTCTCAAATGTAAGCCTTTCAGTTATTGTAATGATTCTGGACATCTTTAAAAGTTGTAATTGATTTAGTCAAGATTATCACAAATTTGTAGACTTGCAGTTTCCTGGAACAATTTCTATTGGTTCGGATCATTTTGGTATTTTTACAAGATAGGAATGATAGCTGATTTGAAACTCTTTGGCATCTAAATGCAAGGTATCCAAATTTGATTAAGCGCTTTGTATCTACTTGTAGAAAAGGCGCTATACAAATGTTCATTATCATATCATATCATTGACAATTTGTAGTCAGATCTACAGTACTGCATGTAAATCATTCAAACCTAGAACAGGTGCCGATAAATTTAGCTCCAAGTGTAAAAGAAGATATAGTTCTGTATGCAAGTAATTGCTGATGGGCTGCCAAATTATCACATTTCGAATACTGGTACATTGTGGAAAGTGCATTGTTATACAAGTTTTGTACAAAGTCTTGTGTAATAAGTTTGTCCCCGTTTAGCATGACCAGTGACGAGAAAAAAAGAAAAATTGATTCTGAAACCTTTTTATATGTCTATGGCACAGGTTACTTGATGATGATGGTGATGGGGATCATGTCCAGGAGTTAGATCATTCATCATCATCTGCTGGCAGTATGATTCCATTCATAGATGCAAGCTCTTGGCTAGGAGCGGCTGGAGAACTGAGTCTAACCAAGCTGCCATCTGCTCTGTATCATGTGTGTAATTGGTGGAAAACCAAAGTGAACGAGGTAATGTAATGCAACAACTTTTTTAAAAATTTGTAGAATACTGCTCTGAAGGCATTAGTTAGCATAGGAGATACCTTTGGATGTTTCTGAAGCTTGGAATGCTTTAGCATGGTGTTTTGCTTCTTTGTAGGTCTTTCTGAAATCACACAGGACGTGGATCGTAATATAATGAAAAATAATAATAGTCTTTTTTTTCCCAGGCAAGCCTCCCTCAGTCATTAATCAAAAAGGTGTATTATTTTCTTCACAAAGTGTAAACTTGTGGTCATTTCATTATTTTTTTTAAATTCTAAGATGGTGAAAGCTATGAAATTTGAGTGTTTAGTAATTTGATAAAAAAAGGTTAAGAAATATAGAAGCATGATTGTTGTCTTCTTTATTCTTATATCCTCTTTATTTCACTAATATACTAATCTTGAAATAACTGACTTGAAATTAAGTGTTACTATGCTAATTGTAATTTATAATGACAGAGTAATGAATACAGGATAAGATGGAACAAATTATTTGCTTAAATACAACTACTACAGAGCTTTGAGCTGGCGAAGGATGTAGTGTTTCCATCTCGTGTTTACCGGAGAGAGCTTTATGCCACTCAGGAGCAGATTAATCTCCTACAAGAACAGCTTCAGAGAGTCAAACAAGAGATGGAATCTAAGGTAAGGGGTTCTTATATGGAAGCCAGTATGAAGATTTCATTCATTTTTTTCTTCTTTTCATTCTATGATTTATTTATGTATACACATACATGTATGTTATAGGCCTATCCTTTAAACAAAAAATGTTTTTAAGACGTCTGTCAAAATTCTCCTTTTAGATCATTGAATAAAATAAATTATATGTATATGTTTTGACAACTTTCGCTGCTGTAAAGAAATGTGAAAACCTTATTAAGTTTGTAAGAGTGCTAAATAATATTCAACTGTATTTACATGTACATACTCATGTCAAGAGAATAATTGTTAGGCATGGTAAACAAGAAATGTGATGTGATATTGTTTATTTACATTATGGAAAAAAAACTCTGGTTTTCCCCAATTACTTTCAATGCATTTGTGATTATTTTGTGTCACATATTTCAGAACTCTGCTACAAACATTCCTGCAGTCACAAGTTGCTCCCATTGTTGCTGTCCACTACACAGCTCTACAACCACCACACATACTGTACTGGGTACAGTACATCAACTTTTATCATTATCACCAGGATCCTCAGCTCCACCTACTCTACCACCACCACCACCACCACCACCACCAGCAGCACCACCGACACCACCACCACCAGCAGCTCTTATGCCTCCCCCTCCTCCTCCCCCGCCGCCCCCCTCCTCCTCCAGCAGTTGCACCACCCAAAGACTGGAGACTAAATTTACCAAAGAGGAAAAAAGGCCCCAACAGTGGCAAAAAGGTAATTCTATAATTTGATTACAGTGTACAATTATGTGAGTCATGGACCTCTTGTACCATGTGGGTATGTAGATCTGTGAATGAACGGAGGATTTGTTGCTATGCTGTCTACTTTTCCACTCAATAATAATCAATATCAATATCCTATTTTAGGTTTTACTATTCCTAACTGAGATTCAAATTATAATCCAGGTATTTACTAATGTTCATTTCATAAATGGATAAAAATTCCTTTCAGTATGTACTAGTACCTCCTCTGAAAGTTCTATAATACTTTTGCCAGAAATTTGAACATCATTATGGAATAGGGATTGGATAAGCCTCCCACCCAAACAAGAATATAATTTTGAATTCCTGCTGTCTTTGTGTGATACTGTAAAACTTGTATTACATTGAAACCTATCGTTGCAGAGCATACATGTATCCAGCAAGTCATTATGATGGTCTCACTCTAGCAACGATCCTAGCAATCTATTAGAGTCTTTAGAAAAGGCACAAATCCAAGCAGCTTTGTGTGCATGTGTTGTTAGGCCTGCAAACAATACACATCACTAAAGTGTGTTTGTGAATACCTTATCATTTTGCCTTTTCACTAAAACAGTTAATAATGCCTTTAGTTTACACTGTTTCCGTTCATATCTTTTCCAACGCCAGGAATCCAATACGAATCCTGGGATTTCTTTGGCTGATATCAAAGGAGTGAAACTAAAGAAAGTGGACAGGAAAAATAAGGTGAGATCATATTATCCCATTGCCTACAGAAACTGATTGCTCCTGTATTGAAGCCTATGGAAATAAGTGACTTCAGTAGTCAATGGCTTAAAGCCCCACTGTCCTACTTGTAGCCACTTGTTCCCTCTATATAGAAAACTTCCCCAATCGGTGCCTGTTGGTTCCCCATGATCCTCTTTTTCTTATGTTCATTGAGAGCTGAGTTAATGAGATAGCCACCTGTCAGTGACCTTGCTGTGTGGTCTAATCCCTTCTGGCCCAGTAGTATTGACGGTCTTTAAAGGCCAGCTGTACTAGTTATGTATGGTAGTGAAACATTGACTTTAGCCTCTGATACTAAAAAGCGTTTGGAAAGTTTCGAAATGTGGTTTTTAAGAAGAATGATGAAAATCCCCTGGACTGACAAAGTTAGTAATGAGGAAGTTCTTACACGAGCTGGAGTGCAAAGGAAAATGATACGTGAGATGTTGATTACCCGGTAGGCAGTTGCAGTTCATGGGTCCATTACACATAAAGAAGGCCTAGAGAATCTTGCTTTGACAGGGAAAATTGTGGGAAGAAGGAGGATACTTTGGATGGACAGTCTGCAGAAATTGTTGGAAGAGAGAGGAGTGAAAGAACTGGGAGTGGCACTAATACAGAAGGCTAGGAGCCGAGGGTTGTGGAACAGCTTGATCGCCAAAGTCAAACGATATGGCACTTAGAGAGAGAGAGAGAGAGAGAGAGTACTAGTTTGGCCAGGAGGGATTAGACCACACAGCGTGGTCAATGACAGGTGGCTATCTCATCAACTCAGCTCTCAATTAACATAAGAAAAAGAGGATCATGGGGGACCAATGGTTACCGATTAGAGATAGTTTTCTATGTAGAGGGAGCAAGTAGCTACAAGTAGGACAGTGGGGCTTTAATAGTCTTTGGAGCACCTTAGTAAAGCAATTTAAATTGACTTCACTGTCAATCTCAGATGAGTGGTTGAGGGTTCAAATCTCTGCCTGGTGCATATATCCTGCTCAATACCATTCATCACCGGTCAGTCTCCTCTTGGTCCATGTCATGATGTGATAAGAAGGAATGTGGCAGGAATCACTCCTTGAAATGGGCGATGATGAAGTCGTTGGTAGTTAAATGGTAGAACTCAATCTTTGAGATTTCTGAGATATTGTTGAATATAGACAAGATTTGATGATGGTAGTATAATAATAATATCGAATATTTAGTATGTTCTCATCCAATCAAATGCCATGATTTCATTAGTGTGTAATGGTTATTTTAACTTGTTAATTTTTTTTTATGAAACAGGGCCTTATGCTGTTTGGTATGAAGGCATTAAAGATGACCAGTCACCAAAGTCCGAAAAGGATTTTTTTTAATTTCTTTCTCTGAATCTTTTTTTTTCCATGCCGGTACAGAGCTGCCAACGATTCCGTTTTTGCCGGAATTACTCCGTTTTTTCTACATAAAATACGTCTTTTAATAATTTTTTTTTTTTTTTTTTTTTTTTACATACCGCACATTAAACAACTGCCCTAAGATGGTGATTTGATCACAAATTCCTTTTTTTTGCTTGATATTCCTTTTTTTTGCCATCATGACTCCTTTTTTTGGTCGCACAAGGTTGGCAGCTCTGCTGGTATACTATATATTCATATAATCGGCTTCCATTAGCTATACAATTCCTTCTGTAATGAGAAATTCAAAATTATTGTCTCAATGAAGGTAACAACTGTCTAATGAGTGGACTGGTTGAAAAAACTGTACACACATGCATGTGAAGGGAACCCTAGTCGGATGTGCATTTCTTTTTTCTTCTTCTTTTTTGTTTTTTTTTCCTTTTTAATGTTATCCCTGTATCCTCTATCATATTCCTTAACAGTCTACCGACAGAATGCCGGAATAACATGTTATTGTTGATTATATACATGTATACTAGCTGTAAACGAATATATTTGTATGTGATTGTTTCCATATCATAGCCTTTGACCTACTGTTCTGCTGATGGTGCACTCTGTTTCATGATGACTAATGATCTCTCAGCACAATCGCGTGCCTTGGGCCCTTTGAAAAAAGCATCGTACCCTAAATTCATAGACACTTCCACGAAATACATGTGTTGAACCAATTTAGTTTTCTATGATACCTACATTTGATGGGGTGAAGTGCAGCTACATGTATGTGAAATAGTCCCCTTTGTTCAGCATTCCAGCTACATCCAAATTAAAAGCAAGACACTTTCTTAACATTGTGTTGCTAATGCTATTTCCTTTGACAGAAGTCTGGCTCCTCTACAGCAGGTGGTGGTGGTCCTCTTGTAACATTGTTAGATCTTCAAGCTGTACAACTCAAGAAATCCTTCAAGCATCCAACTCAATCCACTCAAATCACATCTCCCATGAATCTTAGGACAAGGTGAGTGTTTATCAAGGAAACCAATCTCCACATAATATGTTGCTCTGCGATGCATGTTAGGGAATCCATGATGCTTTCCAATCACCTTAATACTTCTGCAAAGAAATGATTGAATAGACAACTATGATTGCAACAGTTGACACCCTTATTTGGACTCACACTCGCATGAAATATGGAGTAAGCAGAAGTTAGCTACAAATTGACTTCCATGCTGCCTTATAGTCGACACATATGAAATATATAAAGGCAACTGCGTCTACCTTTGGATCACATGAAATAAAAACAGTGAACAATGATATGCAGTTAACTCTGCATTACTCCAAGTCGCACAAATCTAATTTTCCCTTTTAAGTTGAATCAATTTTCCTAAACCAATCTATGCAAAATGTGTAATTTACACTTCATAATTTGAACTATTTTTTGCTGTCTCAAAAGATCTGATGCATAGATGAATGTAATTAGTTATCGAATAGATTTTTTCAACCCATATCATGATAATTTTGATGTTATTAAATAAAACCTTTTCTCTTTGTTATTTCAGTATAGTATCAATAAATATTGAGCACATATTAATGACATTTTAATGGCATAAATTTTCAGGCTGTTATATAAATGTACCTTGTATTTTGACAGGCTATCATTAGAGGCAATAGAGTTTAGGACCTCTCTGAAGAGGGTTGGCTTTCCCAGGAGTCCAGGAGGTACCCCGTTACGCACCAAGCCTGCTGAAAGTGGAGTGGGTCTTACTCCTATCATGACTAGGGCCCTCAAGAGGAAATTTAGGGTGAGTAAATTAATATGCTCTTCCTTGTGATGAAGACAACTTTAATGTAGATCATATTATCTGAGGTACTTATTTATCCTGAACTGTTTCATGAAGCATTCAGGAAAGCTACATGCGGCCCCTCCCCCCCCCCCCCCCCCCCGAATAACATTTGCACTGCGTCAAAAAGAAGTATTTTCTTTTTTGTATTTCCCAACTTCCAAATATATGCTACCCACGCTGAGGTTCTTATGATCCCTGCATATAACATATATTTCTCCAGATTGAGGTGCCTGTAAAATTCAATCTATGTAAGTAACTTGTAAGAATTGTAAAGCCTTTTGCATATTAATAATTGAGTTGTTCTATTGCAGTCCTGAACTTCATGATTTTCGTCTTTCTATTTCAATTGAATTTTGTTTTTGTTTTATTGTAGAGTGTGACAACTCCTCATCGATCACCTTGTAGTAGCGATACATCACCTGCCACACCACCGGGGTTTAGAATCTGAGGTCAAAGGTCACCCATCCACCATTCAGAAGAGAACACTTTACATCTCTACACAACCAAATATTTCTCATGTGACTATTGAGCTTGTTTCTACATGCTGAGTTCATAGCAAAAAATGAATAAGGAGACATCAAACCACCCAAGGGAGATTTGGGTATTTGAAGAAAAAAAATTCTTCACAGTCAGTGGAAAATGTCCTGTTTTGGTAAGCTTTCACTCGCTGTGCTGCAGGATTTTTCAGACCTTTGTCATAGCTGGCAATGATGAACTATAGTGATAGTGATGATGTTGATTAGGATGTGGGTGATGATAATGACAGTACTAAGATTTATGATGGTGATAGTGATGATGACAATGATGATGCTGATGTTGATGTTGTTGATGATGGTGATGATAATGACAGTAATGATAGTTATGATGGTGATGGTGATGGTGATGACGATGATGATGTTATTGATGATGGTAATGATAATGACAGTTATGATTGTGATGGTGATGGTGATCACTGAAGAGGTTCATCTGATTGGTAATTTAACTTAATTAATTTTTTCTTCATAATCAGTAGAAATTGTCCTGCTTTGGTAAGCTTTCACTCGCTGTGCTGCAAGCTTCTTCAGACCTCTGTCTGAGGGAGCATTGTCAAAAGACATTGGCCTTTACTCAACAAGATGTTTTACTGTTCACTTAGAATGTATTTAAACTGCAATATCTCTTTGTAGAAGTAATACATGAAGCTTATATTTTGAATACATTAATGTGCCAAAGAAAGCCATACATCAAGAGAGAAAGATGTTTTCATGAATCATACACTTTAAGGTAATCTTGAGTTATGGTATTGAGGGAAAATAAAGATAAATTCTTCTAGAATCATACGACTCCTTTACTAAATGTTCAAATGAATGATAGGGATAAATTGCCAAATAATTTTGTTATGAAGAGGCTTAATGTTGACAAGTTTTCTTAGTGTCAGCCTGTGTGTAAAATCATTTGATCCTGCTATATTTGTATTAATTCATCACACAAACCAATACAGGTGGACTCATGACCTAATTATAGTACATGACAAGTTCAAAGGTCAAAGGTCAAATCAAATGTTGTTAATCGTAGGCCCTTATTCTAATATCTGTACAAGGTTGAGTTGCCAGCAAACAACATATGCCTGTACTATAAGTGCATTTAGTCAGTGAACCATCAGTTTTCTCATGTTAATTCAACCTGGCGCCAGATAGTGTTTTAGTTCACTTTGCGCTGTAATGACACATAAATGTAAATCTTGTATTATTGATTGCTGTATATTTTTTTAATGCATGTACACAAACATTTGCAAATGGTCATTGGTATTTAGTGATTATAGGCTAAGTTATATTGGATATGCAGTTGCATTGTTCCAATTATATTTTTGATATTCCATATTTCTATTGAAGATTTTTTACATTGCTTTTTTCCTCTTTTCTATTGCTGATGTATTTATAGTCATCATGTAAATATTTTATTTTCAAACATAATATGTCAATTTACTCATGAAAACTCATAGATATGTTTATTTTGTTTAAATATCTTGCTACATATATTATGCTTATAGTGATTGAGTAATGGATAGTGAAAGTGGGTTTATGTATGATCACTTCATCAAGCTATACTTGATAAAGAGTTGTTCACTTTGCCTTTTGATGTAGGTGGAGTATTACGCTACAGAAATTTCCTGCTGTTTCCCGGAATTTTACAAATTTCTTGTGAGTAGAGGATACATTTTATCTATATGGAATGCATTTACGTATTTTACTATGACAGGCAAGATGTCACCTACTATAAACTTTTTTTGAGAGAGAGACATATTTATACATTATATTCCGGTGAACGGAGGATAAGTTTGTATTTATATTGAATGCATTTATGGATGTGTTTTCTTTTTCAGCAATTTTGATATAATAACGTATTAGTGAGCAGATGTAATGTACATTAATACATCCTTACATCTGACTCATATGTTGTAAGTTTCAGAGGCAAGTCCTTTGGTCATGCAGGGCACAGATGCCAAATTTGTTTGAAAGTAAAAGAGCATGGCTAATGTAGTGACTTCAAGGTAAAGTGTTACAATACATATTAATAATAACAGTGAAAAACATGTACTACTAAATTCATGAAGCACATGATATGTACTAGCTTCTCGATGTGCTTCTTGTGTAATAAATAAAGTCTTTCAAATTTTGACCTATTTTTATTTCAGTACATAAGCTTGAGATTCAAAACCTGTCTTCCATTCAAGTTAGATATTTAATGTACGATACAATGTATTAAATGTTTTTGTTGAACTGCATGTTTGTCAGTTAAGTTTTAAATGTTTTGTTAAGATTAGAATTTTCGCTCATTAAAGAAGATCACAAAAGACTAAGAGTTTTAGTAGTTAAATACTAGAAAATATTTTGCGCTGGGATTGTAGATTCTTTAACTTCAATCTATCACATTCATTCAATGATGACTTCATTTTTACAGGAAGTAGTGGTATGGTGGCTCAATTGAATTTGTAGCTGATATAACCTGTGGATGTACAATTATGATGTATTTTGTATTCATGACATTCATTGAGTCACAATACAAGTGGTTTTCAATTACTGTCTATTTATGCTACTACTGGATCATTGGTGCATTATTTAATTATGTGTATATATATCAACCTTTGAGCATTTCTATCAAATTTGATGTAAAGTTTTTGATTTTTGTGTTATTTGTATTATAAACATTTATAATATCTAGAATTAGTAAAGCAAAAAATTATATACGTATAAATTGCCTAATTAGTGTTTGTACAATTTTTTTAAAAATTATACTACAAATTTCAAAGAACTTTGGCCTCCACCATATGTCAATTTTGACAGTACTAATTTATCATGAATAATATGCTTCATTAGATAGCGTATGGCATGAATTATTAACTACAGCAGATTATATGCAACTTGTATTTGTGCTTATATATTTTAGAGTTAGGTTTATGATAAAAGTTTTTCTTTTATTACTCAAAAGTTGCAATAAAAAGCTCTATTTAGCATTTGCTTATGATCATATTTGAAAAGAATGATGTACATGTCGTTTTTGATTGACTTGGGCTGATTTGTGTGGGGTTAGAGATGTGTGTGTGTGTGTATGTGTGTAAGAGTGTCTGAGAGGGGATGTGCTGAGACGTTGGCGACCATGGAGTGCCACAACTCTCTGTCCCATATTCTATGAAGTAATTCATTCTCCCCAAGATCAATTCCATTTTCAGAAATCCCACTCCTTGAGCTACTCATCCACAGAGTCCTCCTTCAACCCCAACTCCTCCTCCCCCTCGATTCTTCCAGTCAGTGCAAGATTTTCCAAACCATTCTTTCTAATAACATGACCCCAAAAAATCAATTCCTGGCAAAAAATTTACACCAAATCGCACGAATTGAGTTTGAAAATTCGACTTTTCTTCAGCTTGAGGAGCACAACTGACGTCCGAAAATTCCAGGTCGATCAAGCGAAAACAGAACAAACCAAAACAAAAATTAACCAAACATAATGTGAAAATTAAAACAAATGAGGACACAAAAATCAAACCAACAAACAATGAAATATCACTTCAATCTTGGGGGGTGGGGGTGGGGGGCTGTGCCCCTGTCTGTCTCTCCCTGTCCTGTCTCCCACTGTATATCTTAAATGGGAATTCCGTTTCGATTACTTAAGAAGGTGATATATTAACTTGTGGTTCTACATGTAAATTAATTTTGTATCGTTACGTTTTTCCATTTATCATTTATACCAACCGCAATACAAACACTGTCAACGTTTAGGCTAAAAACAGAATTTTATCTTTTTGTCCAAAAATATGACGTGGCGTCTTCAATTCAGTGTATATAATGATGAACAAAGGTCACAGAGTTTTGCATTCAGCACCTACATTGCACACGGCCCCATAAACCCTTCTGAGCTGAACACATTATGTTATATCATGTTAAAATTAAAGTACCCAAATACCTCATTACAAACAGTATATTTTTTGTTATTCTAAGACTAATATCATTCTCACACTGAGACATTACAGTTGGTTATTCATTTTTATTAGGCCTCGTGTAATGGTATTTTTTTTACATATAGGCCTAATTGGCTAAGTTAAGTATTGCACGCGGCCCTCAAGTCATTGGCAGACGTAAACATATTTTGTGATACTACATGACGTATATCAATACCCTTTTGACAATCTATTTTGTATTGATTTGGTGAGATAAAGATTATGGGTCATGCACTATTCTCCAATGTAAGCTGAGCTTGATGAAATAACATCTGCGTCATTACCACCAATCGTGGTGGATTTCGATCAACCTCCAAGTCAAACTTTTGTTTTTGAAAACATGGAGGGGTAAAGAATATGTATAGATTGAATAATATTTCAATTAATTATTAAAAAAACGTTCAGATGCTATGTTATTGAATGGATCTCATCAGCTACTGTAATGTTCATCACCAAGTCTGTAAAAACTGGTCCTTATTTCAATTAAACTCAATTAAGAAAGTTCTTTATTCAATTAAAAACAAATCATCATGAGAAAAACTGGTTTAACATAACATCATGGTACATGTATGGTCCTTCATTCACTTTACTCTAATGCACTATTTTGTTGTTTGTATCTGCCCATACTTTTTCTGAGACATTACTTTCAAAATGATTGTATAGGTCCTATATCTCATTCTGATATGAAAACTGAATAGAGGATTAAGAGGGAAAATACACCCTGCTAATATAGTCAAGATAGTGTGAGTTGTTGACCAAAAGATGAGGAAAGATATGAATAAAAGTCTGAGGAAAAAGTTACAAGGCAATTTTAATTTTGTGATGGAACATTGTGTTCACTGACAGCTACTGGGGAACTACGGCGTTGACAGTGATCATGTGACTGAGATCCTAGATACATTCAATTCTTACATCGTACCCTCCCCGGGTACCCTTGCTCAACGTCGATTGATATTCTCATACATGGACCCTTGTAAGATAGAAAATAATTGTTTTCACATAATCATTGCACGAAGGTTTCATGAACCTTTTTGCAAATTGATCTTTATAGAACGATTAACAATTTGTATTTATCAAAGCAGAATTAACAAACAAACAAAGCTTTTAAATGTCGTATTTTGAACGAGTTGAAGCGTTTGGTAAATATAGAATCAATCATAATTTGGCGCTCACGTAACCTCATGACAATGTTATATTGATTGATTGATTGACTAATTGATTTCATTAGTTGACAGGATAGTATAGTAATAATGACTGCTTTGAGAGACATAGTTCATGATAATTAACAGTTCCCATTTACTACAATAAACCATTTTTTAGAAAGTGATCACACAGATTTTGATTCATGAACGATTATTTCGATGGCGGAAAAACATGTTTCGTCTCTATCTTTGTTTTATTATGCATTCCCTTGGTAAATCTTATGTATGAGGCAATCTTGCTATATGGAATGTGATACAAACCAATACAAAACCTACAATGAACGTACGCTATAGTGAATACTCGGTGGGTTGGATTGATCGGACGGTTAGAGAAGGCTTCATTAGAACATAATATGTACATTTTTATTCTTCTTTAAAAGTGCAGCCAGTTTCTACATCAAGAGGTGATCACAACAAAGTTTTGAGAGTACATCTCCGAAATTGTATGTTCCGAAATAATAATAATAATGATAACAATTATGACGATAATAATAATAATGAGAATAATTTTAATGATCGTAATAATCATAATATTGAAGATAATAAATCATAAACATAATCATACAACCACTAAGACTAGTGAAACTATTCAGAGGCTAATTATGAAATTAAGAAAAGTAATGTAGGAGAAATACAAAAAAGACCACATACTAATTGTGTTGAATTGCTTTCAAGATGTTATATCTTGGTTTTGTAGATCAGTGGCAGCTAAACCCCTCCTTTCTATTTGTTGTCCTTTGACGTAAAGTGTTCAGAGTTGCACACGGCCCTCAATTCAATACGTGTGGCCAGGTCAATATCTTCTGCGATTTAGAGCATATGTTAGTAAATGACTATCAACATCCCCTAATCATAGTCTATTTTGTATTGATTTAGTGAGATTAAGATTATGCGATGTGCACGATCCTCATTTAGAAGCTTACCTGGATAGAATAACATCTGCATCATTCTCATCAAACATGGACTCCCTTGGATGATCCTCTAAGTCAAACATTTGTCTCTGGGGTAAAGATGTATGGAAGATGTGCTGGCTGATTATAACCCCATAACCAAAGGCAATACCATACTCAATAATCATATCAATAATCATAACCCACTGCTATAACCATAATCATATACATTTTCTATCCATGTACATGTACGAATATTTCGGAGATATTTTCGTGAATCCGCCTTATATCTCAGGGAACTTTTTGTCCCTTCTTATTGTATTTGCCTGCACAATTCGTTATAATAGCTGATTTTTGTTTTCCTATTTTAATATCTTTCTCCCTTTTTCTTTTCACAGTCTCTGCCCTGTAGCGCTCTTTATCTTCCTCCACATGAACCTTTCTGCCCCCCTTCTTTTTCTTCTTCTACCCCCTCCTCTCTCTCTCTCTCTCTCTATCTCTATCTCTCTCCCTCTCTCTCTCTCTCTCTCTCTCTCTCTCTCTCTCTCTCTCTCTCTCTCTCTATATATATATATATATATATATATATCTACCTCAATCTATTATCTCGCTTCCTTTATTTCTGCCCCTCTGCCCCTCGTCCAATACCCTCTCCTCTGTAATTGTATGGCCACCTCACTTTATTTCTACCGGTGTTTCTTCTCTGATCTCACTCCCTCATGCTTGGAATATTGGAATATCCTTAGTGTCTTCTTTTTTTATCCGTATAGTAAACACGACGAAATTAATCAAAACCACAATATTTTGAGGAAAGAATAATCCTTAGGAGATATGTATTTCCATTTATTCAATAACCGTATATATAGTTGCAAGAAAGATATGTTTGAGAAATATTCCTTATAATATATTGTTGTAAGAAAAATAGTTAGATAGATAGGGATAGATAGATAGATAGATAGAGAGAGACAGAGAGACAGATAGAGAGAGACAGAGAGACAGAGAGAGCAAGGTAGCAAAACGCATCTTCAGGGGCCTATTTACAGCTAAAGCCGGGGTAATAATCTCCAAGTTTGGAAGCGCTTAGTCATTCTGATAAGCGCTATATAAAAACTGAGTATTATTATTATTATTACCACCGATCGGTACCAGAAAATGTCATTCTCTTTTCAATTTATTTAAGTGGTCTAAAACAGACTTTGCAATGTCACTCTTTTAATTGTCATTGTTCTGCAGATGATAACTAAGTGTATACATAATGTTACCTACCCAAACAAATGTCATTGGTATTATTCGAAAGTTTGGGACTTTTATTAATGATAAAGAAATGGATGGGCTGTAACTCAATTGAAGTAAAAAGGGAAGTCCACCCTGATCAGAAAATCAGAAAAATGAAAGAAGTTCGACCCATATCTGAATAAACACAGAAGATAAATATGAGTATTGCGTAAGATGAATAATAATTTTTGAACTTTCCCATTTCTTTGACATGTTTGATGTCTGTTTGGAAGAAATTCACAGAGGAAATGTCCCCTGAAAGATTACTCCTTCAAAAAATCTCATTGAGGAAATATGACGAGACAAAAACTTGTATTCCTCTTGTTTGTGTAGTCACATATACCTTCATGTGGAATCTATGTTATTTTGAGCAAGAATGAGTACATTTATTTTCATGTTGATCCTACGAAAACCTAACAGTATTTATCAATTCTTATTTTACTGCTTCGTCAATGTTTCCAAATTGCTTCCGGATGGTTTCTACAATTTAGTTACATGATCAGTACTTGACTCTGTCTATAATGTCCATATGGAGCTCGAGATGCAACTTAAAAGAATGTAATACTTATATTGCATACCGGTTCATCGGTCAATGGGTAATTAACAAACCTAGGTTCCGAGCAATGCTCGAATCCATGACTTCCATATACATGCACTCAGGTGCTGATGTAAACTTCAGTATACTTTCACACCCCCCCCCCCAGAAAAAGATACTATTTTTAGTGACTTTAGCTAACATTATTTAGAACCTGACCACATGCGCGTCGTACAGGCCCGCTTATAGAGAATATTGATGATATATCATAAAATAGCATTTCAATCGCAAACTGATAAGCTGTCTTCACAGTTTGCTTACGTATTTAACCTGCGGTTATTGATCCGCTTAGTATTATTTTTAAAGCAGGCATGTCATTATAATCGTCCTGTGATTAAGATAGCGTTAGATAATGAAATATAAATGAGTCAATGAAATCCATATAAAAGATTCAAATTGTTGTTCTTGTGGGAAACCGGACGATAGGTTCTTCAAGATGAAGCTGTTTATTCTTGTTGCTCTCGTTGCTGCGGCTTCAGCCGTACGATATGATGGGTGAGTCTCTAATAATCACTAAACTTTCGTTCATTGTGAGGGTTACTTCATTACCTCTCAAACTTTGCTAAAAGGACTATTAAAAAAAGATATATGTTAACAAAAAGTCATTGTAACCAGTTTTCATTAAAGCCCCTCTAAAGCGTTGGGAGCCCCAAATTCGCCCCAAATTTGATGGCAAATTTCACTTAAACTGCATCATAATGTGAAAGACGATGTCATCTAAGACACACTTCTGCCCAGATTCCCCCCCCCCCCAGAAAAATTTAGTATTCCTTCATCTATATTCGACTTCAAACATATTTGTTTTTAAAATCCTTGCAGAAATGTGTCTTAAATGATGATGATGATTCACAGCATTTGTATGGCGCCATAATATATCTGTCTCAAAAAACATTCAAAGGCGCGAGCTCCTCCAATAAAATTAGCATTTAAATGTCTGAAGGAAGATGTGAGTCTTGAGTGAAGCTTTGAAGTGGTTCAGGTTGTCAATTTCGCGAATAGACGATGGGAGGGAATTCCACAGGCGAGGAGCAATAGAGGAAATAAGTTGTACGAAGCGAAAAGAGCAACACTTGAAATCTCAAGCACAATAGTGATTCTCAAAAGAAATGAAATGTACCAAATGGTTTGTTCTCGAAATCGATGTTGGGAATGGTTTTGCCCATGGAAGCAATTCGTGACAATGATGACTGTTTCACTTGGCTCCCCATGATCAGCATTTATTTGATGGATGTTTTTTAATATTGTATAATCTATAACTATGTCTGTGGGATTTAAGCAATGATAATTATGTTTAAAAAAACTGATCAAAGCCAAATGGCATTACGCTTGAAAACACAGCAAAAGAGTTGTAGTACATTTAAGGCATTTATTGAGGGGGAAACTGTAAAACTGTATTCCAAAATGTCAAAGGGAGGCGGGAGCAAAATATTTGAAAACCATTAAGTCCGACATCGCTGGGAACACAAAAAATATCATTGTAAACGGGATGATGAAACAAGAAATGTATGATAATTCCAATAAAATAAGTAGATTGTCAGAAGATATCGATAAAATTACTGTTCCGTAATTATAGAATTTCTTGAATATCCCATATAATCTCTATTAGTCCTATTTATGTGTATTGCTTTGTTTCGTTGTGCCTTAAAGAACTATATTATTAACCTGCTACTCAATTATTTATATCATATCGTTATTGAAATTAGTAAGCAAAAGCGAAATTGGTATGAGCGATTTTCAAAAGCCTAATTAAGGCATTTTACGCACAAAATCCTGTCCTCTTCCTTTTCTTTTCATTCTTTAGAATTTGTTGTGCATTTGTCACGTCTGTAAATGATTCTGAGTAACCTACTTGGTTTTGTAATATAAGTATTTTTGTAGTCTGTTTTTATTATTTGTTCTATTTTTGTATTTCGCTATGTTATTCTGTATGCATATCATTATATATATATATATATATATATATATATATATATATAATATCATTGTTTGCTTTCTAGAATGAGTTGGAAATACTGTTTTGAATTGAAAAGAAATATATATAATAAGAAATAAATGTTCTGAGGCATTTTTTCTCTTTCGATATTCACATTTTTTCTTCATTTCTATTAGATACCAGGCTCTTCGTGTGGAGCCACGGGATGACCTTCAGCTTGACTTCCTCAACTCATTGCAAAAGGAACTAGAAGGAAAGGTAGGCAACAAGCGGTCACGGTTGGATCTCTGTGAACACACTGTGGTGTTCACACTCTGTGATCACACTGTGGTGTTCACACTCTGTGATCACACTGTGGTGTTCACACTCTGTAAACACCACAGTGTGATCACAGAGTGTGAACACCACAGTGTGATCACAGAGTGTGAACACCACAGTGTGGCCTAGAGTGTGTGAACACCGCTGTGTAGCCTAGAGTGTGTGAACACCATTGTGTGGCCTAGAGTGTGTGCACCGCAGCTTGATCACAGTGCGCATGCACCATAATGTGATCTCAGAGTGTGTGCACCACAGCGTAATCACAGTGTGTATGCAGCACAGCGTGATCACAGATTTGGGGTTTTCTGAGGAGGCTAGGAACAGTGTGTGGTGGAAGTGTGATCGGGTGATGTGTGTGTCACATGGTGGGGAGGGGGTGGGGGGAGTAGGGTGTTTGGTTGGATGGGGTTATTTGTTTTATGTTACAACCGATTTTCAATTTTGTTTTCAACAATTGTACAATTTATGTAATGAAAATGTTTAAATTCATGTCAAGAAAAAACAACTGTATTTTATTTCTAAAATTAATTTGTATTGTTTGGAATCAATAAAATAAAAAAAAAGATTTCCAACATAATAAACCAATAGGGGAAGTGCAAATTTGAAGAAGAAAAAAAAGTGAACACTACAGCGTGATCACAGTGTGTGTACCACAGTGTAATCTCAGAGTGTGTGCACCACAGTGTGATCACAGTGTGTGTGCACCGCAGCGTGATCACCGCGGAGTATGAACACCACACTGGGATCACAGAGTGTGTGCACCACAGTGTTATCTCAGAGTGTGTGCACCACATTGTGATCACAGAGTGTGTGCACCGCAGCGTGATCACCGTGGAGTATGAACACCACACTGGGATCACAGAGTGTGTGCACCACAGTGTGGTCACAGAGTGTGAACACCACAGCGTGATCACCGTGGAGTATGTACACCACACTGGGATCACAGAGTGTGTGCACCACAGTGTTATCTCAGAGTGTGAACACCACAGTGTGGTCACAGAGTGTGAACACCACAGCGTGATCACCGTGGAGTATGAACACCACACTGGGATCACAGAGTGTGTGCACCACAGTGTGGTCACAGAGTGTGAACACCACAGCGTGATCACCGTGGAGTATGTACACCACACTGGGATCACAGAGTGTGTGCACCACAGTGTTATCTCAGAGTGTGAACACCACAGTGTGGTCAAAGAGTGTGAACACCACAGCGTGATCACAGAGTGTGTGCACCATAATGTGATCACAGAGTGTGAATAGCACAGTGTGATAAAAAAGTTTTAATCACTAGTGTGATCTCAGAGTGCAAGCGCCACAGTGTGAACACTGCAATGTACCGTGTGAGTAAAAAAAAAATTTACACCTAGAAAATTGCTAATTATTTTAAAAATCATCTATGAACAGTAGATTAGTATACATATTATGAAAGAGTGTTTTATCCCAAATCATTTGGTATCATTTTTGCGTGGAATGTGCCCACGCTTGTATAAACAGGAGGCATTGTTTGCGAGAGTGCAAAAATCGACTTGCGCCAGAGTGATGCCTACAGTATGTATTATGTTGAGATTAGCGGAGTGAGAGAATGGATTGAATGTATAGAATGAAACGCATTGCTATGCTTTTTGCAGAAGCAAAGTCACACACACACACACACACACACATACGCAAAATGTCGTTTGATGTTTGATATTCGATATTTGATATGTGTGGCATGATTAAATTTGTTAGAGATGTTATTTGGATCTGCAAAGACCGAATTATTACCCAAATCCCAAGGCCCGTATTCTGAAGTCAGGTTTAGTTAAACCTAGGTTTAACTTTAAACCCGGGTTTAACTAAGCCAGACTTCAGGTCTAAGTATCATTTCAGTTTCTGAAAGCCAGGTTTAGTTAAACCCAGGTTTAAGTCTAAAACCCAGGTTTAAAGTTAAGCCAAGGTTTAACTACCATGGAGATGTAGTCTGCTTCTACTGCACATGCTCAGTACAGCTCATCCATCTTCAAGGGTAGCTGATATAGGCTTTTTTATAGCTGGATTTCGTGCTGCAAATTTAATAACTTCAATTTAAAATATTCGACACAAACAAATCTCTTTCGAAGCAACCATTGAACGTTATGACCTGATTTTTTGTTTTGTTTTACCCTTTGATTTATTGTTAAACTGCTGAAAAAGTCTGAATCGAGGTGGAATTGTTCTTTACGAAAAATAAATGATACAAAAATCAGGATTCTACAATTCCAGAACATCATACAAATGCTCTAAATAAGATTTAAATGACTAAAAGAGAAACTAAAAAACGATCAAAAATACCTTCTTGATGCAAAATAACTAGTCCAAAGTCAACATTGCAGAAGCTCATTTGTTTGATTTTTAGTTTTTTTTTAGGACAATGGAATCCTTTTTCGAACCGACGTGTCGGGTATCGGATACCTCGGGTATCACAATCTCCTTCTTGGTCACCGTGCGCGCATCATCGATCGTGCGCGCATTCATTCGTTCAAGTACACACAGTTTAGAAATATTGCATTGTCCTAAAAAAAACGCTTGAAATTCGACCATATTATATGAGCTTCAATGTTGACTTTGGACTAGTTATTCTGCATCAAGAAGGTATTTGTGATCATTTCTCTTTAAGTCATTTTAATCTTATTTAGGTCTAGATCTAGATATCTAGATCTAGACCTCTATATGCATCTTTCGGGGCATCTTTAGGATGTTATGGATGTTTTGACATCATAATATTAATAGACTAGGCGCGCCTAATCGGTCTAGAGTCTAGACTAGATCTAGGGCAGAAATTGTAGGATTAGATTCTACCCAAAACTCTACTAGGTCTAGAGTTCCGGCTTAACACACTCGTTGGCTCTTAATTATGCTAATCCATGATTGTCTTATAAATATAGATTTAGCTCTTCATTAATTTACTCTTAATTCTAATTCAACCTTAGGCCTACAGTTTTATTTTAACTCGCATTTGTTTACTTCGTTGGGACCCAATTCAAAAATGTGCATTGCACTCACAGTTTCAAAACTACGTGAGCATAACGTCAAACTAAAGGTATGGGGCTACTATATTTGTTTTCCTCTGCAACAAAGTGATACGTGTTGTCGATTTACTTTGGCAACTTTTTAGTTTCAAGTATTGTCGTACTATACAAATCACACAATCTTATATAAAATATAAAATCTTAAGACTTAGAAAATATTAGGCATAAAGATTCAATAAGCAAATGAAGTATCCAAATTAATGTTCAAACTTGCCGAAGGCATAAAATCGCAAGGCCCACTTTCATCCGCAAGCGATGTGTGTGTCACCTTGTACTGTTGGAGTCAGTGCAAATCGATGTTTGTTTGGTATTTAAAAAACAACAGCGATGCAAAAAAATCATCGTCGCAATGATTATGAAAGGTTCTTTTCTTTCCACAAGAGGTCTCTCCGGTCTCATTATTTGCAATAATTCGTCGTAATGCCTTTTAATGGTGTCTTCTTCTCCTCTGAATTTCCAACAAATAGTTAGACCTGACTTAAGCCAGACTTAAACTAGGTGTACCCCAGGTTTAAATATGTGTACAATTTCCACAGAGTTAGACCAGGCTTAAACCTAGGTTTAAGTTAAACCTGACTTCAGAAACGCAAAATTAAACCTAGGTTTAAATCTGAGAGTTAGGCGAGGCTTAGACTAGACTTAAACCTAGGTTTAAAGTTAAACCTGACTTCAGAATACGGGCCCAAGTGTTTTATTCAAACATCACATAAGCATCTTTGGCGCAAGTCGATTTTTGCACTCTCGCAAACAGAGCCTCCTGTTCATCCAAACGTGAACACATACCAAACAAAATGTTACTAAAAGATTCGGGATAAAACACTCTTTTATAATATGTATACTAATTTACTGTTCATACATGATTTTTAAAATAATTAGCAATTTTCTAGGTGAAAACTTTTTTTTGACTCACACTGTATATACAGAGTATAATCTGTGAAAACCACAGTTTGATCAAATATCTAAAATTCAAGTTTGAACACAGTAAGTAAACATCAAAGTGAGAACACAGATTGAAGAAAAAAATGATCACAAGATGAAAGCACCAAAGTGAGTTTAAGCACTGCAATGTGATCACTAAGTGTAATGTGAACACTTTTACACTTTTAATGATGTAATCAAACTGTTCGCACAATGCGTAGTAGTGTGTCATTTCGAATATGTTCGATGTTTCTGTTACCAAACAGAAAATTACCTGCTGTAAAAAAAGTACGATAGTTAATCATGTAATCCATTATTTGTGAAGAAGTAAAAAATTAATTTTCCCTTCCTTCCATAGATATCTTTCTGGTCTCAACCCCTGACCACCAAGCGGCCGACCGACATCGTGGTCCAACCTCGTTTCCAAGATGACCTCAAGGAAATCCTGGATGCCAAACAGATCAAGTACTCTGTCATGATCGATGATGTCCAGACCTTGATCGACTCCCAGTCCCGCTCCGACGATGATGTCAAGATCAGTGCGGATTTCGACTACAGTGTCTACCACACATACGAAGAGGTGAAGTTATCCTAACGAGAAATCAATTTAAGTAAAATGAAATGGAAAAGCTTAAAGGTAAATTTGAGTTCTGGTCATGCGATTGCATTGTGAAAGAAGGTTCTGGAGTCATCAAATCATTATAAATTTGGCCCAATCTTGGTAAAGTAACAAGCACTGCACACAGAAAGAAGTACATGGGACTACACAAATGGTGTCGGGCCTACTTACCTTGAATTCCTCATCCTTCTATGCTCATTATCCAGCCAGGATACATTTTCTACCAAAATTGTTCGGCAAATGACATTTATTTGTAATCTCGAACATTCAGTGGAAGTTTCGTTTGATTCTGTGAGAATTCATTTTCCTTTTTTACCAGAACTCAAGTTTATCTTAAAAATGTGAAAGTAGCATAATTTATTTTAAAAAGAATTAAGCAATTTATGTATCGAAAGGGAAAGATTGACAAGTGTATAATAATTTCAAACTTGCTACTTGTTCAAGACACTAGATATAGATTTCTACATTAAAATATTACATGCCAATCAGATGAAAACGATGTAAAATGTCAATTGGCAAGAGTTTGTATATCTATAAAGCAGAATAGATGCCGAATGTTTTCTTCCTTACTGTGTTACCAATTAAAGTATACGGAATGTCCTTCTCTTATCTTAATTCATGAATGTAAACAATTTGTACCATATACTAAAGCAATGAATGCTGTACTTTAAAATGAATATTATTTTCTATCATCTTCTGGTGTTTGAATGTCGTTTTTGTTTTATCATATGAATTTATTTATTAGGTCTGATTATTTTGACTGTTATTTTTTCACTTGTTTGATAGATCCAAGCTTGGGTATTTGAGATCACTGCCGCACACAGCGCCATTGCTCAACAATTCCAGATCGCTACGTCTTCTGAAGGCCGTCCTATCAATGCTGTAAAGGTAAGCAATAACATCTTAACGATTACAACTTTTAGTTTGCCTTTTTGTCAGCATTAAACAAATTTAAATACGCGAGTCGACTTATGTGAGGAAAAATGTATAATGTTTCTCTTGATAAGGTCTTCTCATGTTCTTTGCAGGATCGAGATGAATATGAACTCCATAAATAAGAACATCCATTATTATTTTTGTTCATTATTATCGAGATGTATGTTATCCTCCTAACTGTGAATCCGTTCGTCACACTATCTCTCTCTCTCTCTCTCTTCACCGTTTCTTTCATAGATCTCTCTGTTCCTCTCTCAAATAGTTTTTCACATTTTCCTCCACATCCTCTCTTTTCCTTCTAGATAATGACTGGAGGTGTTGGTACAAAGAAGGCCGTCTACTGGCAGGGAGGTATCCACGCTCGTGAGTGGGTTTCGCCAGCTACTGTCATGTTCATTACTAAGTCTGTAAGCAATGTTCCTTATTAAGTAAAAATCAATCATGAGAGCACATTATTAAAAAAAAGGAAGGCTTCTGAAATCTTTACATCATGAAATAGTCTTCCTAGACATAGAAACAAAAGGATTAGGGATCGAATACTTACCTGATTCAATTCAATTCAAATGAACAATTGATGCGTATGTTTATAAGGCATTTTCTCTAAGGCGTTGCTCAGCACTGTTAATTGGGTCCCTGGCAGGATCTATTCCTTAAAATGCACTGTGCGCTTCGATGCGATACAGCCTTTTTCATATCTTTTGGTTCCTCAAATTACCCAATTTGTCTCGCTGCATTTAAATATAAACAATAAGTTAACTATAATGTAGTGAAATTCATTACACCATTATGCCCATTTGCTTCAATCCCATTCAGTACAAGCCAGCTCAATTAAAAACAATCCATTTCAAAATAATGTGATCGAACATTATGTTTGACCCTCGTTTTAACTGACCCTACTTTATCTTTCCCCTGACAGCTGCTTGAGAACTACGGTGTTGACAGCGATGTGACTGAGATCCTAGACAAATTCGATTACTACATCGTGCCCTCGCTCAACGTCGATGGATATTCTTATACATGGACTATGGTAAGCATAGACCACCAAATCGGGGGGGGGGGGGGAGATGGCTGATGCCCCTCAAAAATTTCAAGGGGGGCATACTCGAGTTTGCCCTCTCCCTCTTTTTTCTGTTTTCTTCTTTGCAAGAAATAGAGAAAATAGCATCAGTTTCATTACAATATTTATCATTGTAATGGATAAATAAATCAGATAATTTTTAGTGCAATCAAATGCAAACTTTCGGCATTTCAGAATCAATGCTACCTCGAATATGAGCACAGATTGTGTATCAGGAAAGTGTAAAAACTCTATCTACCATAGGCACCGGAATCCGGAGCGCAACATTATTCCATCTTACACATCGGAGGGTTTGGAAAAAAATATAATAATGATGACTATAATTATGTTCTGCGGCGTTCCAATGCTCTTAAATACAAGGTTCGTCATTCTAAGACCGAGATTCTGGCATTATAGCTCTCGATGCCCTCTGACATGATAATAGATAGAAGCAGTGTAAACCTGTAAACCCCGTGTACTCAAGGCGTCGGACGATCTGTCCTTCTTTCAAGGGGAAGAGAAATCGTTTTGATTCCCCCTTCATTCATAAGTCCATGATTTATTCAGTGTAAAGATTAGCTCTCTCGGGCTTTAAACGCAATGTTTAAACAGGTTTTTTTTTTCAATAATTCATTTGGCCCTCAAAAAGACCTTTCTAGACAAAAAAAATGAAATTATGTTGTATTGGCAATATATCAAGCATGAACTAACAAGATCAGAGAATATTAACAGTAGCATAGCGTTCCTCAAACAGTGACACGAACTTGTTTATGAAATAAATACCATTTCGTTTATAATGGTGTCAAATTATTTTCATGATATTACAGGACCGTTTGTGGAGAAAGACTCGATCAATTAACAGCGGTAGCGTTTGCCGAGGAGTAGATCCTAACAGAAACTATGAGTATGAATGGGGAGGTACGTACAAATAGGCTATTGCCAGATAGTTTGTCACCTTTGTTAATTTCATAAATTCTGTTGCTCTAATTATATTGGTACATCTTTACCAAATACAAACTACATGTAGTTAAATACTATCCCTTTTTGCAAATCGTTATGAACATTTTCTTTCTATTTTTTTGTTTAGGAGTTATTTTCGTTTACCCTGATCGATTTCAATTTCTGTACTTATGCCATAATATATGCATTATTAAGAATAATGACTTACACAACTCTTCAAGCACAGAATAAGTGTGTGAGAGAAAGAGTTTATGTTCTATTTTCTTATTCTAGTTTATCGTTACCCGAAGTTTAACTTATCTGTCCTATATATGTATGAGTAGTGTTTTTAATAATAAAAATTATAAGGGTATACTGTTAATACTTGGTAAACGATTGCACAAGAAATTAATGGGGGGTTGGTGCTATTAAAGACTTTACGCAGATAACTTATTGACCAAACCGCCCATTTCATCAACAGTTTGATTGTTACATGTAATCCCTACATTACCAATGCTGTTAGTCAATGTGTCCTTTTTAATTTCAGGCGAGGGTGCCAGCACCAGTGCCTGCTCAGACACGTACCGAGGCCCTACAGCTTTCTCTGAACCCGAGATCGCTGGATCCTCCTCTTTCCTTCTGAACGCTAACCAGGAGTTCGTGTGCTACATCGACTTCCATAGTTACTCTCAGCTCTGGCTTGCTCCCTGGTCATACACGGCCAGAGCTCGCCTTCCAAATGACATGGATGATCACGTAAGAAATTAACGATTAGGAGTTGTGATGATGTATGACGCAAAGAAGGACGATGATGACGATGATGGTGGTAGTGAGTATGGTGATTGACGGTGAGATAATGGTGATGATGACTCTTGATCATTATAATGATGATGACAATAATGACGGATGATGATGATATTGATGGACAGGTGACGGTGATTATGATGAACGGAGGTGAAAATACTGATGAGTATGCTACTCCTATTAATTTCATCATGACAATGATTATGTTGAATGTGATGATGATTACGATGATGATGGATATTGATGGCAATTGAGATAAAGATGATTATAGGCATAGTAGATGGGGATGATAATGATGTTAATGATAATGGGTCTGGATCTTAAAATTGATGATGAGGAGGAGGAGGAGGAGGAGGAGGAGGAGGATGAAGACGGATGGATGGTGATGGTGCTACTTTCGTTTCTAATGATGAACATCGTGGTAACGATCATGGTTGTCGTCATGGTCGTGGTCATGATAATGGTTGTTAAAATGAGGCAGGTTATGATGTGGAGATGCTGGTGAACATGAGGATTATAATGTGATGATGGTGGTGAACATGAGGATTATACTGTGATGCTGGTGGTGAACATGAGGATTATACTGTGATGCTGGTGGTGAACATGAGGATTATGCTGTGATGATGCTGGTGAACATGAGGAATATACTGTGATGATGCTGGTGAACATGAGGAATATACTGTGATGATGGTGGTGATTATGATGATGAAGATTATGATGATGACAGTGACAGCAATTTGGTGATAATGACTATCAGAATGATTGAGAAAATTGTGTAAAGAAATGTTCATGTTCAACTGTGCTCGTTAGTGATGATAATGTGACAGCAGGTAACATTTCATGTGTTTACTTGTTTGTGATGAAGGCGATATGCTGCATGCTGATGACAATGGCGATTTTAAAAAAAAAACTGAAATTTCGATGGAACATGTTGCACGGCTACGATCGTACTATAAGCAATTTTTGTAACATATTGTATCATGAAAATTATTATCATTATCATTATCATAATTGTCATTATTGTCATTATTGTTATTATTATTATTATTATTATCATCATCATTATTAGTAATATTATTAAAATGTTACATTTTAATAATACTATACTAATAATGATGATGATAATAATAATATTATAAATATTATAATTGTTATTATCATTATTATTGTCATTCTTATTAATTCTACTTTTCTTGCTTTTATTATCATTATCATTATTATAAGTATTGTATTGTATGATTTATTAACCTAGTAACAATATTAACATAGTAACACTAATCTCTTGTATACAGGATGAGGCTGCAGCCAAGGCTGTGAATGCTCTACAGAGTGTGTATGGTACCGAATATATCTATGGACCGTCTGCTAGGACACTCTGTAAGTTACCATGATTACAACTATCTATTGATACTCCAGCCTAGGAGATTTCAAACTAATTTCTACTTTAGATTATGAAACTTTTAGATTTTATACGAATAGGCATTCTGAAGACTTAAAGGCCGGGGAATATTTATCGAGCCTTTGCAACAGCAGAAGCAGCTCAGAATCGGGCATCCATCTTTTTCGCCATTTTTAATGTTTGTTCATGTTAGTTTATAAATACATTTGAAGCTTGTTAACGAAATATAATTAAGAAAGACAAGCAAGCGGGTAAAACGAAAATCTGATATCGTAACAGAAATAAAGTTTATCTCTAGCCTTAAGATAATATATAACTTTCTTCCTTATCCAGAAAAACAATTTTATAACAAGGGCGTAATACCTTTATAAATTAAAAAAAAAAGAGTGAAGTAGAATTTTCCTGAAGATCTCAAGTCAACAGCATACTTTAAAAGAATGACTTCCTTTGGATTTGAAAATAAATTAAAACAAGTGTACATACATGTATATAAATAATTTTTCCGAAATATTAATGTTTCTTGTCTTAGGATCGGACTTATGTTTCGAGCTTTCAAGTAGGGGAAAAAGTCCTAAGAAGTAGCAAACTGTGGTTACGTTAGTGACATCACTAACAAACAGTCGTAAGACTAGCCACCAACTGGTAACCGACTTGGCCTTTTAAAGTACCATGACATTCAACACTCAACACTCTGACAATACGTTTTCGACATTTGGTTTTAAATGATATTGTAATTTATCTCCAAATCAAATGAAAGTCAGTCAACAGGCGTGTAATAGCCTTTAAATAGTCAAAAATTGTATTGACCCCCCCCCTTTTTTTTCTTTTTCAATATTTACCAGACGCCGCCTCTGGATGTAGTGAAGATTGGGGCTACGCCACTCTGGGGGCCAAGTACTCGTACGTGGTGGAGCTGAGGGATACAGGAAGGTACGGCTTCCTGCTCCCTGCTAACCAGATCATCCCGACTGGTCAGGAGACATATGAAGCAGTCAAGGCACTCTGCAAACATATGGCGGACGAATACTAGTAGATCATTCAGCGACCATTGCTCACAATATTCAAAAACACTTATCTGGACTGTAGCAATCTTGTATGAAACGGATCATAGATTAAAATAGATGTCATAAAAATTTACCCTCTCTCTCTCTCTCTCTTTCTCTCTCTCACTCTCTCTGCACTGTATAATTTAATGTCGTCTTATGAAGGAATTATTTCGATGCCTCTACCGCATATGACGTTTCCTTGGAGTTTATTGAATGGATCGGTCTAACATTGGCATGAAATAATCATATCATCATTTATTCTTAGTTCAAACATAGGACGTACTAATTATACCCAGTTGTGTATATGTAAATGTATATGATTGTTAACGGAAAAAAGAAAGAAATATATTTGAAATCCTTACATTGTGTTAAAATTGTGTTTTTCTTGTGTATGTAGGGTGAACGTGAATGTGACGCAGTGGTGTATCATTGTGCGTCTTTTAAATATTAATTTCAAGTGTAGATTCCAATAAACACACATAAAGGAATGAAGAATAAGATGATAATACTCAGAGCGTTATCTTGGTTTCATGGATGATACACATTAATAATACATGTAAGTTATTGCCCCTCCTATGAAATTCAACAATTTCAAACAACTGTAATACCAAATGACAGATAACATGCACGAACTTCCCTTTCTGTAACTAGACGTGTTAAAAACGTGACGCAAAAAATATTCCTAATCATCGATGAGAAAAGACCAGCCTGTTAGCAGTTTTTCTTTGGCTGACACAAACTTGAAATAAGATAATGTCAAAATGATCGATGGATTATTGATAACGATTCAAAATAAGGGGTTATACTCATATTTAATAGCTGGGCTTTGTAATATTGATATGCCACGTATGAACGATTCATTCGTCTCGTCTGCAAGAAAGCAATACCATGTATGATAGGGGACGGGGGAAGCGACTTCATCATTATGACAATTATATTACGGTATGCACGCTGAAGCCCGATTTTGTAATTCTTATGTCATGTTTTTTAAGAAAACATTAATCAAAATGCTATTTCAATGCTGTGTTCAAACTGTAGTCCTAATCGCAGAGGGTATAATCATAATTTAAACCATTACAGATGTATTCAAAACATATCGAGGGTTTTACCAAGGTGAACCCACTGTCAGTGGCCAGTATATTCATATCCGTATGAATCTGAGTTCATTCCCAAATTATTTTTTTTTTGCATCCATCTTGTTCATGTGCTTGTTCTTGTTCTTGTTGTTGGTGGTGGTGGTGTTGATGGTGGTGATTGGTGGTGGTGCTGTTGTTCTCTATATTTCCTTCTTACAATACACAACCTTCTAGGATTCATGTTTTATCCAAACAATAAATTCCAAATAATCGCAACTGTTATAACAACAAGACTGAGATGTTTTGTACCTGTTCCGATTGAATTATTTAAAGAAAGCTGAATGAGAAGTTTTATAAAGAAATGTGTGGATGATGAAGGTTCAAGAAAATATGTTGTAGGTGGCATATTCCAACGTGAATGGGTGATACGGGCGCGTGTGTGCGTTGTGTACATGTGCGTGTGCGCGCGTGTGTGAGTTTGTGTGTGTGAGTTCTGCGTGTGTGTGTGTGTGTGTGAGTTTCTGGTGTTGGTGAGGGCCAGTGAGAACTTTCCTGTGTGAGAATTAGATTTCAATGGGTTAGTATATAGTAAAACCTGATCGCGGCCAATTTCCGAATGGGATATCTGTTTTTTTTTAAATAACGAAATAAACATACAGGTTTTAACGGAGGAACAATTGGTCAAGTTGAAATCAATTAATTATTTATAAGAAACAATTTCAGCCCAACTTTCAGTAAGACATCGTGGCCCAGATGTTTGGAACTCCTTACCAAATTCATTAAGGCAATGTTCATCTATCTTTTCTTTTAAAGCATCTTTAAAACAACCTCTTATATCGAAATATCATCATTCAATAGGCGATTAGTGATGTCTCTAATTTAGGTCGCATTGCAAGTCATTTTTGCGACTAATACTACTTCACATACACATTACACTCACAAACTCATACCCTTAGATCGTATTAACACATTTTCATTTTAAAGTTTCACCTAAAGATTTTTCTTTTGAGGCCGCCATCCGGTACAAGCGTTGCTAATAATTGCAGTCTCCCGCATTTTTTCCGCAGATACTTTGGATAATATGTTAAAGAAATAATGAGTTCGTTTAATATTTATATTTGTAAATCACATTTCGACATGAAGTTATTATTGTTTGTATATCTGTATTATACGTTCACATAATTCTTTGTTAGTCGATTATTGTATTTAGGAAAAATTCAGGTAAAACAAAAATCTTTTTCATATTATTTATTATTTACAGTATATGCAGGCATGATAATGGGATGAATATTGCAACTATATAATACCTGCTATAATTATTCAATTAGACATTTTGGAGTTGAGTAAACATTATCATTATTTGCTGAGATGGAAAATATCAATGTAAATATTGAAAGAAGTTGGGTTTTTTGCCTAATATCTTATTACGTTGCATATTGGCCTTTAATGAAATGAGAAACATAAATTCACAGAGTTCGTATTAGTACTAGGCTGACCATAAAATATAACCACCACGTAGATAATACGCACATAAACTCAAAATCAAATATTGACAGAGGCCTACATAATTATTAATACATAAGAATTCACTTAATTATAGGAACGGGACCCCCGTACTCTGGGCTTGGAGAAACTATAAACAGGACCAGAAGTGGTCTTACCCCTCACTTATCTCTTCGTCATCATCGATGTCCGTCAAGACTGAAACTTCATCATGAAGCTCTTTATTCTCTCTCTACTGATCGCTGTAGCTGTAGCCGAGAAGGTTCGCTATGATGGGTGAGTCTATTCTCCATCTCATCATATTTATTTATTCATTTATGTCTGATATTGACACAGGGTGGCACATTTCACCAATTATAGTGGTCTTCCATGAGGCCCTTTTTACACCTATAACACGAAATAAAACTTGGGAGAAATAACCCAAAGGCAATCTCTAAGTAATTCCCGCACAAAACTATTGAAATTGCCTCAGGTTATATTCGGTTTTCCGGTTGTGTTTAATATGTAGAAGATATTTTACATCAGTATCAGCTCTTATTAATTTCCCTGTTGTTTTACTCTCTTGAATTTTCCATTTAGTTGTGTAAATTCACGTTTTCTGTCCCCATACATTTTCATTATCGCTTTACCCATTTGCATATTCCCTCTCCCACTCTTCCTTGTGTATTTCCTCTCGCCTTTTATAAATAATAGTTTATGTCTTCAAATTCTCTTCTTGTTAATGATTATTATAACTGAAACCATACAGTGTCCACGCATGGTACTTACTTGATTGTTAATATATAGTCAGCAAAAGAAATAAAGTGGACACTCTTCATTGTTAAGGAATTTCATATAAACCGTCAATAAAATACGATGATATACATATATCAAATTAAACGAAAATCAATATCTACCAACACGTAATCAATTAAGATCAAGATTTGAACTTTAACACTTGGATGGGCAAATTCATCTTACCGTAAGAAAGTCTGATAAAGAAAATTCAAAAAATAGAGCAGACAGCTATTCAAATGTAGATTTTAAAAAAGTGCATCTGTAAGACACTGATTAAGCAATGAAAGCTTAGGATGGAAAACAAAATAGGAAGATTGAGCTCTGGATGTCAGCTGTAGTCTCAGGGCTATATGGTTTTTACAATCACGGTAAAGATGATTCTCCTATCTTTGACTGTACAAGTTGTAAATGCTCATCACCATTTTGAATGGCCAGATGCCCTATTATTGCATTTTCTTTCAAAGACTCAATTATTGTAAAATGGCTATGCTCACTCAATTGTAAATGGTATGATTACAGTTGCATAGCATCTTAAAGGGAATTAATTGTTTTATTTCTATTTATAAAAGATAAGTTTATATTTAACATTCATTTAAAAATCCCAACTCTAAGTAGTGTCCACTAGGCGAATTGCTTCGTTTTTTTTTTATCAAACTTTTAGTATACTTATGTATTGACGTTGCATAATTTTAGTGTGACATTCACATTATGCTATAATTGCTACATTATCGATTTTCTTATTATTTTTTGTTTCTTGTTTTTGTATTTGTTACGTTATGTTTGTTACTCTATTTGTTTTTGTATTTGTAATTGTATCTCTGACCCTGCTTATTATCATTTGATGAGAAATATTCCTCTTCTTCAAGCAGAGGACCAAATCATTTTTCCTGTAACTTCTTTGATTTTTTTCCTCTGAAATAAAGATGATTGATATAATCATATCATTTTCATTAACTCAGCTACCAAACTCTTCGCATCGAACCCAAAGGCACAATCCAGAATGACTACGTTCACCACTTAGCCGAGTCAGTGGATGCGAAGGTAATTCTTACCGTCTGTTAATATTGCAATGCGGTAGAGTGCCAGTTTATTGGTTTATAATGATGATGATGATGATGATGATGATGATGATGATAACAATGATATTATCGATGATATTATCAATGATAATTACAATAAAGATATTAACCTTGATGTTTTTTATGACGGTTGATGGAGGTTTAAGGTTAGTGGATTTCGACTTTCAATGAAGACACGATCTCTAGTTTTATCTTTAAAAGCTGAACACTTGCCCTATTTTGATCTACCGTTTATATACCTCACCAGGTCATTAAAAGTTCATGATCCTATCTCCCGAATTATATATGAGAAGGTTCTGTGAATGCCAAGTCAGTATTAACGTGGTGCGAAATAATAATAATAACCGTACAGTTGTACAAATGCATTTTTAGGGTGTTGCTCTGTCCTGCTCTAGTGAGGAAATTTTATTAAGAATCCTAAACATTATTTCCTTAAGTATAATTGGTGAAATATCATGAGCCCCAGTCCTAAAAATTGTACCCCCCCCCCCAATGGAAGATCTAAAGTTTGATAAGAGACGTATTTTTTCTTTATTTCTTTTAATTTGATAGAACGAAATGTCCACTTCTACTCTCACTTTACTCTGTTATATTTAGTACGACTTCTGGGCTCACGTTCCCAATGCTTACACCGATGTTATGATGGCACCAAACCTGGTAGGCGGTTTGAAGTATCTCCTAGACTCCAAGAATATCGACTACCATGTCATGGTCGAGGACGTCCAAACCCTCATCGATAACGAGAGCGACGTTCTGCCAACTGCTGGATTCAGCTATGATCAATACAACGATTACGATGCGGTATATATCATAAACTAAACTCATAATCTTTTGTATCTAAAGATACGTGCTTTATGTAAGTGTACATGGACATATCACGGTTGAATAAGCACATATAAATGAATGAAATGGATTATTTTA